TTTGCAGCAGCTTATAAAAAATAGACCTGGTAACAGAAAGCACATGATACGCCAATCAGCTGATTGGATTTGGTTTGGTAAAAATCTGTCTAACCCGTTATCTAATCAGATGTGGACTTTGGTAAGGTAACATCACATTACGGTACATAAAAATATTAATGCAAGATTCAGACCTAGCTGTTAAACTTACTGTTAATATTCAACAAGATATTTAAGATATTTTCAATGTATTTGTTGGAGACATCTAAACATACATCCAAATACATGTCAAATCTGGGCGTTTGCATTACAGTCACACAGGTAATGTTATCATTTTGCAGAAATATTATACTGGTTTAATGTGACAAAGTAGTTCAGTGGGTGTGCACCACTTGTCCCTTATTCTTTTTTTCTGATTTGTAATGCTTTAATTTAAACGATAGTTTGCAACTTTGCTTCAGTTTCTATCCCGGGTTTGTTTGTGTTAGCATTATGTTGCACTTTCCATCTATTTATATTTTTAGGTAAAGCTATTACCTCTGCGTTACTGGTTGAAATTGAATATTTTGTTTCAAAGTATATGCATGGTATTTGTTTTCCTTTTTACTCACCATTGTTTGTCCAAGTATTTCCTGCTAAATTGGCTAGATGATGTCATTAATTACTTTGCTGGGTTCTACCATTTAGAGGGTTTCCTTTGGCGTAATGCTTTGTTTGTTTGTCTTTAAAGTAACTTTTTGAGTTATCTTGTATCACATTGATTATTTTGCAGACTCTTTCATTATGTAGATGACTTTAGATTATTAATTAGATTAATAATTTCATTCTTGTTTCTCTGTTTAGACTTTGTTTTTAGTTTTTTTTTTCTACCTGTTTAATTGTGGCTTGGTTCTCTCAAGTGCGGGTGTGTTGCCAATTGGTTATATAAGCACTGAGCTCTTGGAAGCTCAGGAAGGGTTGTCAGAGTGAAAAGTGCTAAATATAAGACAACAGAGAAATCTGGAACTGGTAGCTGAAGCTGTTTTTTTTTTTTTTTTTTTTTTTTTTTTTTTTTCAACTTACTGATCCTCGACCAAATTACTTCACATTTAAGAGAATGTAGTTTAATTTACACCTCTTGTGAGACATTTACCCTGACATTATACATAATGCCATGTCTTTAATGTTACATACACGGGCTAAACAGAGAGGTCTCGAAATCAGAAGTTGGATAGCCAAAAAGGTTGTTTTAATTTCTTCTAAAAAATTACACAAAACAGCCTTTTCCAAAAGGAAACCCATCCACCTCTGAAACACCCAGCAGTAAACCTGTGTAAACTTTATCGCCCCACAACTGGCCTATCACATCATCCTTCTGTAGAGAGAAACACACAAAAAAAGATGAAACTTCATATAAATAATCATAAATTTATCAGTTACCATTGAGGAAATGAAAAGAAAACATTTCATGTATACATATACAGTTAACTTACATACAAGGGCGTACAGTAGGTTTGATCTCAACTTTGGTAGGGACTCTATTGGTCTTAAGTTGAATTGGTCCTGCTCATTATGCATGCTCCTATTTTTTTAATGCTTGACGTGAGCATCAGGGCGCATTTCGTTTAAAGAGAAAACAGCATTTTTTGCTACATTTATACAAATTTTAATAGCACTACACTCACGATATGCTGTTTATCAATGTTTGAAGCATCAGTGGCTCAGAATAATGTAAAATTGGGATAATTTAACACTTTGAAAAGAGTTACATTTGAACTTACCATTGACTAAGACAGAAGGTAAATAGGTGCCTTTTTGACCAAATATAGTCTAAATATGTCTGTTGTATGTGTATTTTATCCGGTGTTTTCGTTTGAAGGAATAGAATTGTGCAGCGGCAAATGGAGGTAAAACCCACTATTATTTATTTATTTTGTTTATCTGATATGCTGATATTCTCTGTACTGTAAAACAAAGCAAAATAACATATTCAAGGGACTGCAAAGAGATTTATTGTATTTACATGGGCACGGAAACTATAAGAGGAAATGACACTGAGCATTTAAAATATTAACTTCAATATACAAGTTGTGAGAAAAGAAGCGACTGATGCAACAGCACTGTATTATTATACATTTTAAACATGTTATTCACATAGAATTATTAGTAGGGACAAGTAGGTTGGGCCAACATTTTGGTAGGGTCATGTCCCTATGCAAACCTATGCCCATGCTTACATATGTTCCAATAAATCAGATTCCTACTGCCAGTTCATGTCCAATATCGCTTTTTCCTCTTTACTTGCAGTTTAAGATTGCTGCCATTGAGGACACACTCACATTTTGACTGAGTAACTAAATTACAACAAGCAAATGGTTACTTACATCATTGCACAGTTGAGTTTTTAGCCCTAATTTCATTCATTGTTTGCAGTATAAGCTTAGTTCTTCCTTTAAAACATGTATAAAAAAGTGATCTGTTGTAGCAGACTGTGGTTGACGATAATTTCCAGTGCAAATACCCATAGGTTTCTATGTCACTAATAGTCTAAAACTAATATGACAGTAGCATAAAGGTACATAAAATTTGCATGAACTGCTATGGCACTTTGGTGAGTTGTTTTAAGATAGTAGACATATGTTTTGAACTAAAACCTCAACATTTTCTCAAGTTTTATGGGAAAAATATTCTACATTTACACCAAAAAGAAGAAAATTAAATGGTGCATGTTATCTGTTTATTTTATTTTACATAAATCCCAGCTAAAAATGTTATAGGTATTCTTTTCGAATTTGTAGTGCAGCCATAAACAAAACCCCCAGCTCTTCTAAAAATAGCCTAAAATAGAGGAAGTGTCAGTTTGAATAAAAAATCTGAACTAAAAAGAAGCTGGTGACATTGAGGGAAACACTGTCTTGCTGACATGAATTCAACCCACTTGTATTCTAAGCAGTAAAACTATGGAGGCACTTGATAAATCCCCTCTATATAAATCAGGCATAATTGTGAAGTCAAAGAACAACATAGTATGGCACCAAACAGAAATCAGACGTAGAGATATGCAATTGTTTTTAGCCCCACTTGAGTTATTATGTATTATAACAATCTTTATTTTGTCTTTTTGAGCTTGCATATCATTTAGAGCAGTGTGGTTACCAAACTTTTTTGACTTGTGAACCCCCTTGGCCATTTTATCATACCATGATTACCCCCTTGGTCAAACGTATTATTTAAAAAAAAAATAGAAAATACAACTGATTATAAAATGAAAAAATATTTATTAAATTTTCTCAACTTCAATATTTAATGTTCAAACATTTCATTCTTTCTGATTATAATAAAGAATAACAAATATGTTGCCTTGGAAGCGAATAAGTACTGAAGTAAATACAAAATCAAATTAAGTTGAAAATCCATTATTTTATAAAAAAAAAAAAAAAAAACTGAGCTCTTCTGAATAAGTCCCCTCTACACACATCTAAACACAAGTATCCGGACAAATAAGGAAAAAAAATGAACAAAATATTCAGATTCACTGTTATTTTTACTTTGTTTTCAGCAATGAATCACTTGATGTTCTCCAGCAAAGGCATGTTTTTGACGTTTATCCTTGACTGCAGCTGCTTTGGCGAGTTCTTCTGTTTTGTGTCTCTTTTGTCTTTGCGAGAAGCAGTGCAGGGGCACAGCACCGACACCCACTCTATCTCTTAGGAAAATTTTGGATAGGGCATTTTTTTTAAAATGTTTTGGTTGATGAAATCTTGGTTTAATTTGCAATGCATTGGCGGACCACAAGGGGTACTAGTACCCCTGGTTGGGAATCCCTGATTTAGATTATGACTGAATCATTCTGATAGGTCAACAGGTTTTGATCTTAGTTCTAGCTGCATTTTGGGGGTTTGTGTCCTGTTGGAAAGTTATTTTGCCTCTAACAGGTGTAGCAAGGTATGAGCAAATAAATAATCACATGGCGAGTTGAGGTGATGATGATAAAGATGTAAGGAAGCTTTTTTGGGTAAAGGTAACACACATTTATTTTCCTAGTTTAAATAATATTGCATTTTTTACTACAGTATGAATTAATTACTTATGATAAAACAAAGTAATTCACAATCCCCCTATAGTACCCTCCCCGCCCCTGATGATTAAGACCTCTGCTCCAAGGCCTGGAGAACTCTTTATATTATATTATATTATATTATATTATATTATATTATATTATATTATATTATATTATATTATATTATATTATATTATATTATATTATATTATATTATATTATATTATATTATATTATATTATATTATAATATAATTATATTATGACTTATGGAGGCAATTGATTGCACTTGATATATATGTGGGGAGATGAGTAAATATGAACCCATATGAAAAGCATGACTTGTTTCCTTTTCACATAAGCAGTGGGTATGACTTTGTGTTGATCTGCTACATTAAACACCAGTAAAATATCTTTATGGTTTTGTGTAGTAAAAGGGAAAATTTTACAACAAAGAAGTTATAGACGTTATATATATTTTTTAAAGACAGCACAGACACTGTTTTCCTGTATATTATGATTAGACAACCATGCCTCAAACAATGATTACTAATACAAATATAACATTAGGGTTTAAGACTGAAACCAGACATATGGTCTGAATATATGAATTGACTTTATTTCAGGACATTTTGTTAAAAAGATTAGTTCTTGCAGGAGAAAAAAAATCTAAAAGCAGAATGAGCCAGGAAAAAAAAAAATGTTTCACTAAACTGAAAAAGAACAAGGCATTGCAGTCCAAGCCGATTCTGTGACAGTTTCTCTTCATTTCTTTTTACTTTTCTTGGACAAGAGCCTGTTGAAAACATTGGAGTCAGCAGGAGCTCAGCTTATCATATTTTGCCACTCTGAAAGGATGAGGCGGTGAGGATTTTTATTCTATAACCATCCAAGGCTGTAAAAAGGGATGATTCACAGCCCTTTACCTCACTGTCCCTGCATAGGCCGTTCTCATCATGGTCAACTGCTTTGCCCATCCCCCCTTCTCAGTTAACTGCCTGTCCACAGTTGGATGAGCCAACTGTAAACCACACCGGGTCTGTTAATTAATTAATGTCCCTTAACTGCAAGGCAGACTCCCCCCATTGTACTAGAGTAGTTTTCAGCTGGTTACAGAGGTGCTCACTTGTGCTTTTTGGTTCCGCTGGTGTTGTTGTGGGAAGGCAAAAGAAACAGCTGTGGATGGTCTTCAGCATCATACCCAGTATCAATCATCCAGAGGGCCATTGTGGTCCTGTCCTGTAAACGGCGCCAGTGCAAGCAGGGAGGGAGACAGAGAAAGAAGAAGAGAGAGCCGAAGGAAGAAGGGGGAAGGGGGTAGGGTGGATGCAGGGAGAACCAGGGAAGAGGATGGTCGGTGAACTGCCTGGATGCCCACCTCAGCTCCTCCTGTGGGTCTGGGGGGCTCTGCTGCTGTCTCAGTGTCTGTCGTTGGTTCTCTCCCAGGTCCCGGATCCTGAGGTAAGAGTCTGCAGGCGCTATTTTTCATCCAATGTTATCTTCACAGAAATGATGCAGGTGTTTCATTGGTAACACATAGTAATCATAAAAGACTCGGTGGTTGGAAAAAAATATGATTGTTTGTGCTGGTGTGGACAGTAATACAGTATAGTTTTGCCAAGTCTTAGTGTTAATATTTGCTTAGATTGAGTGGAAGACTGATAACTTGATTTCCACCTTAGTCTGACTTCAGTGCTTTTGAAATTGGGCAAAAACAAAAGGGGAGAATGTGCAAATTCACAGATGAAAGTAATGTTATAAGATTGTTGCAAAAAGTGCAACCTTATAGAAGTAAAACAGCTAGGATCCAAGTAATGAAACCTACATTTGAAAAATTATTTTGGTGAGCAAAAACAGAGCATAGAAGCTAGTTTCATTTGCAGACAGACCATCCATATCAGCACAAGTTTCACACGCCTCTAACGAAGATAAGAGAAAACGCAGGAAAACTCTAGAGGCAGTACCTGCCCTCTAGCTTCACACAGGCTGCCTTTTTTTTTTTTTTTTTAGCTTTAACACTTAAATGTTAAAGCTAAAACTTGGGGCAAAAACTTAAAATGTATAAATAGGCTCAGGTCTTTGCCCAGTAGGCCATAATATGCATGGATAATAATAATAGTTAATGGCATACATTAGAACACTGCCTTATTAATCAATAAACTGTAATTTGAATTTGCTTAGTTCTAATTGGCTTCTGTAAGATATCAGTCCTCTAAATTGTTACCTTGATTTTTTTTTTCTTGTCTCCAAATGATATGTGAAAAGAAGCAAAGCTCTCTTAAAATGGATTTTCAAATCTGTTGAAAATTCAACAGAGAAACTATCCAGCAAGAGGTCATTATTTGCTGCAATTTGTGGTGCTTCAGTTTAGGAACTTTGAGGTCATATTTCTTAAAAAAAAAAAAAAAAAAAAAAAAAAAAAAGGTTTTCATTCAAAAATTGTTGCTCATACAAGGATTTAAAAACGTTTCTCAAAACAGTATTTAGATGCAGGGCTAAATCCCTCTTTTATGTAAATAAGGTCTTTTGGTATTGGGAAGCTTTTTTGTTCAGATTCAGAGTTTTTCTTAGTGCTTCTGAAACAGTAGAAAGCTTTTTGTTTTATATTACCTACAGCTTACCGTATCTTTGATTTAGCCAAAATAAATGTTGGTGCTTCTCTGCTGAATACACATTAACCTCTTCTTTTCCTTTATTTCAATAATTTTTTTTTCTTGTCTTTTTTTGCTGGAGGATAATATGAAGCTATTACGACAGGAAAGGCAGAGAGAACATTGAGTTAATTCAGAATTTAAGAGCAGAAGTAGAATAAAGCAGAATAATAAAAAAAAATGCTTTTTTTTGTCCTCCAGCAGCCTGAGTATAGAGTTTTATAACTATAAGCTTTATCAAAAAGGGATGTTTTAAGCCTAGCCTGAAAAGTAGACAGGGTGTCCACTTGTAAGTAGCATGATAACCAAAATATCTGATTCCCATTCTACTGTTAAAAATTCTAGTATACTTGCAGATTGAGAGTAAAGGTCTATATTAGGAACAAAAGTAAATTTATTCTGGTCTGGATTTAACAGAAAGCCAATTCAGGGACGCTAAAATAGGATAAATATAACTTTCTTTTCATCACAAGTCTGGCTGCAGCATTTAGGATCAGCTGAAGATTTTTGGCTACATTTCTGTGTGATACTAAAGAATTGAAATAGAACAACCATAAAGTAAAAAATGTATAGACCAGTTTCTAAACATCACCTCTAGACAAGATATGTCATCTCCTTTGCAAAATTCCACCAATGAAAGAAGTCAATTCTGGAAAACTTTTTCATTCCGGATGTTCAATAAATCATATTTAATTGATTTAATTTAATTGATTGATTTAATTGTTGTTTTGGCTGCTTTATATTCAGCTTATCCTTTCTTTCCATTTGACCACCTCAATGTGTAAGCAAGCAAATATAATAATTGTCTATTTTTAGGACAGTTTTTGTTGCTTCATAGATTAAAGTGTAGGGTTTCCACAACAACCTTGTATTATCCAGTTAAATGATCAATATACAGCAGACAGAGAAAAATCCTTTTGATTAGTTTATCGGGGGTGATGCTCTGCTGGTTTTGGTTGCACTGATCATTTATCCAATTGGGAAAAGATATAATTGTTCTTCCCTAAGCTTCAGATATAGGGGTTAGGGGTGAGATAAATAGTTTAAAATTCTAACAGAAGAAATCAATAGGAAATATCCCAGCAACATAATATTGCTAGATCTATTTAAAGGGGAAGCACATTAACAATTTGGCTCTGGTTTAAGTGCTGGGTTTGCAGAACTCTGCCCTTGTTACTACAAATGAGTGAAATGTCTCCTAAACAAAATGATAGAAATAGTCTAACATCAAAATGTATAAGCTGAAATAACTTTAATGCTCTTTATGAGTTTAACCTTTTATACTGGAAATGAAAGAAAATTCTTTAAAATGATTGCTGGTAACACATCAGTATAGATTGTAGAAATATTGATATAGGTCTACACAGCAGGTCAGAATTATTATGTTTTAATGTGAAAAATGAGTTTGCTTTGTCGTCTCTTTGCAGCTTTTACCCACAGAACCCCCAAAGAAGCCGGATCCTGTCAATTCAGAGACTGTCGTTTTCTGGGGACTGCGGTTATGGCAGGTCATAGGCATCTTCTCAGTGTTTGTCTTGGCTGTTGGTCAGTATTCGTTTATTGTTAAAGTCTCCCATGCTAGCTAACGTGAAAGTGTAACAGTAATCCCAACTACAATTATTGAACCCCCTTTGCATTTTTTTTTTATTTGTAGGCATCATTCAGAATTGCTCAGATATTAAACTACACAAATCTAGTTCACATAGTTTAATAAAATAAATTAATACCCTACTTACTTTGAATGACTATATGCAATAACTCAGCATACATTTGGAAAGCAGCTACATCTAAGGCACACTTGATTTGACAATTTGAGGGATTCATTTATGTGCTTGATATAGATTCCCCTAATAATACAATAGCTGTGTGAAATGTTTAGAAAAGATAATTATTTGCTTTACTCAAACATAAAAAAGAATGAAGCAAAAATAGAGAAGGCCTCAAAGTTTCCCATATATATTTGGAAACAGATTTTGAAGGATTGAGGTTAGAGGAAGTGTGGCTACAACACCTAGATGTACTGTAGCAAAAGGAGGAAGCCATCAACAGCTGCCAACAACTCCCGAAGAGGCAGACAGTCAAAAACCATGGGGCTTGGTAGCAGCAAATGGACAGTTTTAAGTGTCCATAGAAAGCACATAATCAACATTGAAGGATTATATGTTTAACTTCTAGGGGGAACACTACTACTGACTCTAAATCACAAAAATATTCAAAGTCCACCAAATTGTGTTTCCTGGAAAACATTTCTGGTGATATTTTAAGCAGGTTATTGCACAAGGTAAACCATGGATATTAATGAACAGAAGTTATTTGGCAACGCAGGGCAACGGCTAAGATTCTGTAGGAACACCCCCACAACCAGGTGCCTGGCTGTTAATTACATGTAGCGTAACAATGGGGGCTCCACTAATATTTTTATTCAATCCATTTAAAAACATTTTTATTCCTGAAAAAAGGATGAACCTTTACTTTTTTTGGTTCTTGAAGAAAAATGTCTTTAGACTGTTAATGCTGAAAGTCTGCATTGTAAATAGTTTCTCATTTTAGTAGTTCATGGTTATTTTATTTAAAAATGCAAAAAAAATTAAAAAAAATCCATGAATGCATGGAGAAAATATTAATATATATATAAAATAAGAGGATATGGAGAAGTCATAACCCCTCACTCTACAGGTTTTTTCTAGGTTAGTTTTTCCTCAGTCAAATGTGAAGCACTTAGCTGGTAATAAGTGGAGGGTTGTTAATCCTTTAGCCTCACCATATCTGTGATTTTGTCCCTTTTTTCTTCAGTTATCACCCTGTGCTGCATTTTCAAATGCCGGATTCCAAGGACGAAAAAGGAAATCGAAGCACGACATGCACAACGACAGGCTGCCAAAAAATATGCCAACACATTAGAGACAGTGCCACCTCTGAATGAGCTGACTGAGGTCCCAGGATGTAAGTAGTTATCTCTCTCTAATACCATTTCAGTATCAACATGACAGAACTTTGTCTATAATAAAAGCGAGAGCAGGCTTTAACTTTGATGTTGACTTGAGCAGTTTACTGAAATTGATCCCTTTTATGCTTTACCTCCTAAGTTTGAATTAATCTGTTTGAAAATGGGATAAGCTATGACACTGAAAGAGGCTGTTTTTACATCGGCTTTGCCTTCACAATATTTGTTTTTAAATATAACCATTCAGGATTGATATACGCGAAAAAACATTTGAGGAAATGTAATTTATTTATGTTAATGCATAGTTTACAGGGAAGAATAAAACATATCCAGAAAATTTCTCACTGTTTTGTGATTTACAACCATCTTACATAACACTTTCCTGTTTTAATATATTTCACTGGATAAAAGTTTGCCTTAACTTTCTGTTATTTGCTTGAGGCTTTGAAAGCTCTGTTCCTATAATCTCCTCTTTTCCTTCACTTTCCTTCTGTCTTTTCTTCCTTCTTCTCTTCCAGCAACTCCAGATTCCTCTGCAGTGCAGACAGTGTCTGAGCAGGTCCAGGCTCAAAACCCTAACAGCAGTCCTCTCTCTGTGGTTAGGGTCAGCGAAGACCTACCCAGCTCTCTCTCTTTGCCAGAGTCAGGATGATGTTTTTTTTTTTTTTCCTTTAGTTTTCTTTCACTCTTATCTTCTCTGACCAGCTACTTTATAACGCATGCTTTTCACAGTAGCAGCCACTCTAAAAGCACCCTTTATTCATGTATCCCACATACCTTTCACTCTTATCCATTTAGTTAATGTGGTCTCCATTAATAGTCAGCAGATACACTTGTAGCAAAAGTAAAATACATGCAACAGAAATTGTATATTTTATTTACTTTGCTTACTGCATCACTTATAAAATGTTAGCAATAAGATATAACAAAAATAATGAAGATGTGCTTACTAGTGACCTAGTCTGTGAGATAACTCCTACTAGGAATACTAAATACATATACCGCTGCTTTTACAATATTTTAGTTTTATAGCAGTTTGACTTGTAGTCTTCACTATATATATATATATATATATATATATATATATATATATATATATATATATATATATATATATATATATATATATATATATATATATATATATATATATATATATATATATATATATATATATATATATATATGAATGTGTATTGTTGTCTGTGGGGGTGTGTTTGTGTGTGTGTATGCATTTACACACAAGGTGGTATCGAATTACTTACCCCCATTAATGTTACACTTGCATATCAATATGATGGGAGGGTAAACAGAACCTGGGTGCACACAAACTACAGTTTTAAAATAAAACCTTTATTTATTAATGGATAAAGCTATTCAAACCTACTTAGGTTTATGTATGTATTTATGTGTATTCTATTAACCCCTAACACCTAAAACTAATAAGTTCTTGCCATCATTTGCATCTACTGTTCTCAACAGCTTCTAACAGTAACCACAAGGTAACTAGTAAAAAATATTTCAAATGGCTATGGAAGAATTTGGATCCGTCTTTGTAAAATTGCTTTAACATGAAAAACTTTACCACCTTAAGGCTTTTTAAACTATAAGCACCCTGATTAAGAGCTGTCCATTACATCCTGTAGATTTAAATTAAGATTTAATTCCCTCCTGATTTTACAAATACAGATACTTTGCCTATTTTCTAATCAAGACTAAAACATGCTCTGTTCAGACTGCATATTTCAACTGATTGCCCTGTGCTAGTCTTATTATTGTGTATTGTTAAACATGTCTTTTGTACAGTGACCTTTGATGTTTTAAAAGGTGCTTTAAATAAAATGGTCTATAGGTATATGCTCCTTTCAATTGCCCTTTTTCGGAAGATTGTAAACCAAATGTACAGCACTTTTTGGCAGCTGTGGTTGCTTTAAAAGCGGAGGGCATGCATCTTCCAAAAAAAAAAATCCTGACTATCCTCAATGGTTCTCAAGAAAAACTGCTGTCCCTGCAGGAGAAGCAAATTCAGTCTCCATCTAATTTCTGACCAGCTTTGGGGATTTCAGGATGTTTACCTTTTGTCAAAACAAGACAGAAGTGTAGCATTAACCTCATCCTTGAGTTAGTGGGTTACAAGACAGTAAGAAGCATATATTTGTCTCATGATATCATGTAGGGGAACCTTTGCCCAGACTGAGGATAATCCCAAACTCAGTTCATATAATGTCAAGTTCTAAGTTGCCAAAAAGCTATGTGGTCATTTCCAGGTGTCTGACAAAAATACTTGCTGTGATTCTTCCACATCTCTTGATACTCTTTGCTGCAGTGCAGCCCTAAAACATTTAATAATTTATGCCACAGCCACCTGCTGACTGGTGCATCCAAGTCTTACTCAATAAAATATAATGGATCGAAATTGTGCTGGTATTGGAAAATCGGCTCCAAAATAGTTTTTTTTTTTTTTTTTTTTCCCAGCATCTGCTTGCAGTTTCAGGGTCCGTCTTTAGCATTTATAGGCTGGCATAACCAAGCTACTGCTGTATATGTTCACAGCACAGGTTATGGACTATAACACAATAGAAGAGCAAACAAATATAATCAAATAAATAGAAACCAAGTGACTTTGTCATATTATCTATTGATGTGATCTTGCCTTACATACTCACTTTTGGTGTTAATATCTAGTTAGTCGGTGTTGGCTACCTCCAGCTCTAAATGCGTACTTTAACAAAATGGTATAACAGTCTTACAAGTGGATGGAGGAGAGGGAGAGGAAAAAAAATTCGATCAGAGTGTATCAGGGAGATTTTTTAGCACAATAATGGAAGAGAAGGTAGAATGGTCTGGCCCATATACAGTCATTCAAATAACGAATGGGCTGTTTTTAGCTAAATATCTGAGAAAATAGCCAACTATACTTTTTGTAGTCTGCATACTCGTAATATATACATCTAGTAATGTATACATGAAATTGGGTAGTTCATCTCTAATTTCATGGAAGACTTCTACATGACTTAAAGAGACCCATAACTTTCTCTTCCACCCTATAAAACAGAATCACTCTCTAAAAAAGTGCATGAATTCTGTATTTATTATCTTTAATGTTAGCATATTTATGTCAGTAATCATTGTTCATATTCAAACAACTGAGATGTCCAATTAGTTACATTCCACATGAGATAATCACTAATGCCACCCATTAAATTGGAACTGCTGGTTCTGGGTTAATTTACTTCCACATGGGATCACCTGGGTGGAGTGACCACTGGGGTGGCCAATTATTGGCCGTGACCATCCCTGCATCTAGCGTCATCCCTGCTAATGGAATATTATTATTATTATTATTATTATTATTGTGGTTTCACTAGGTGTTTATATGGAGTTCATAAACATTCATTTAATGTACTGTAGTGTTAGGTGATATACATAGACATTTAAAAAGTCAATAATAACAAAAGTTTATTTATACAACTAAACAAATGTTAATAAAATAAGATGTTTTTCACTTCTGTATGTGTGATAAAGTTAATATTTTTGTTGTATCTGTATTCATCCTTTTTATAAAGAATTAGGAGTTAAATGTCATGAAGAATTTAGATGAGTTTGCTGCTTGCTTGGTAGCTCTCACACAAAAAAAACAAAACAAGGGTATTCTTATTATTTTGGTCATTATTCAATGAACTTATACCTCAAAACAGAATGTAGTTTTCACTTTTGTATTTCATTAAGCTCTCCCCTTTTACATTGATCCTCTGTATTTGTAGTTATGTGGATGAAGCTTGCATGCAAAATGTTGTACTTGAACCTTGGAGTTGGCTCAGAGCTTGTCTGCCTGGCTGTGTGTTTCCTGGACGGGGCCGCCTCTTACAGTTGCTTTTTGTATCTCTGCTTCTGTCTCCTTGAACCCCAGTCACCCTCAGCAGATGGCCGCTCACACTGAGCCTGTTTCTGCTGGAGGTTTCTTCATGTTAAAAGGACGTTTTTCCTTTCCACTGTCGCTACAAGCATGCTTAGTGTGAGGGATTGTATTCGAGTCAATGAGTCAATGCAATCAACTGGCTTTCCTTAGACAGAGAATTTTGAATCGATTTGACTGTATGATCTGGTGAACTGTAAAGTGCCTTGAGATGACACGTGTTGTGAATTGACGCTATATAAATAAACTGAATTGAATTGAAACCTGGAAGCAGCTTTGATAACACCAACCAGACTGGTTTGTCAAGAACGCAACATGTGGTGTTTGATTTGAATAATGTAAAAGGTAAACTTTCGTTCTTATTTGTCTGTTTTTTAATTAAGTGTCATCTGCCCTCTGAGAGAGAATACAGCTCCAACTTAAATGAAATGCTTCAGTTGGTAGCAAGTAACTTAATTATAAAGTTTAGCTACATTTTTTTAGAGTGATTTAATTTGACAACTCATTAAATAAATGAAAAACTGTTTTAATTAAATGAAATTGGATCAACTCAATTAAATTACTTATTACCAGTCGAAGCAATGTATTTACTGCCTTTTTTTTACCTTTTCTGTGTCAGAGCAATCCTATCTTCTCTGCAGATTCTGCTTTAACTTTGTGGTGGCCATGACAATTGATGCGCTGACTCATGTGTAATTGATTTGGAACAATTACACACTTAAGAACTTATATTTATTTTTAAAGATTAATATCACAAATACGATTTGTATAAAAAAGAGATTAAAAGCATCATAATAAAAATACTCTTGCAAGAGCCTCCACATCTCTTCAATCTCGTGTCATCATGTGAATACTCATCCATGGGACTTTATAACTAATCAACCATTCCACTGGGATAAGAGGGGAGACTATAATGAAATGCTGAAGATGATTTCAGGCATTTATTTTTGCAGGACGGCAGCAAAAAGCTAAAAGAACAAAATGTAAATTCATGCATTTTCTCCCAGATTGTGTAAAGCTGATGGTGCACCTGAAATTTAATCACTAGCAGCATCTGACAAGCCAGAAGAACTCATAATAGGCTGGAAATGGCAGCATTGGATGTAAAGCCACATTTATCTTTATCTATCTTACAAGTGGGTAATAATAAAGGAATGTGGTAAATCACAGATGGAAAGATATCAGACATGTTTAGTGAGTCTTCAACAGTCTAAATATACATATTGTTTTAATAAGTGATTCTATGAGAATGACTGAAAAGTAAACAGGATGATTTTCTTTTGTTTATAAAATCCCCTTAAATAAATATTCCACTTATAAAAATATATTTTTCTATCAAGAAGTTAGCATCTAAAATTCAAAGAATTTTATAACACTTGATAGAGAATTGAAATGATTGCTTTTTCCCTTTTGCTGATGATGCATGGCTGCATTTCTAAGGATAAAATATATAGGTGGATGAATATTTATATGAATATTTAGAAACTAAAGTATAAACTGACATGTGACATTGATCCCTCCAGCACTGTACATTAGCCAGGTTTTTGTACCTCTGTACAGATCAAGTATGGAATATCTGGGAGGGTGGAGTCAGATAGGAAAAATAATTAGCTTTTTTAGTTTTAGCGCCTTTATTTTTTATGATAAAGATAATGAGGAGAAAAAAAATCCAGAATCGGACTCCTCCCTTCCTATCTAAAATGTTCCCCACTGAACTAATCACAAGGCTTCTGGTGTATATAGATCTAAACTAGAGTGTGTGTGTGTGTGTGTGTGTGGCCTTCATTTATCTTTCTTCATACCTTAGATCAGATGATTCCAAAGCGGAACGTAGATCATTTCACATAGATCCATATTAATATACTGTATCCTTAGCAAGCAAGTAAAAAAACCCACAAATAAATAAATATAATTAAACATACTTTTACTTTTTCTTAGTCTTACTGTGTGTCATCTGTCAAAAAAAAGAAAACAATCTCTGTAAATATGAAATATTTCTATATGTGCTGCTTGCCTGTATAGCACTGATACTGGATGAGAGTCCAGCCGATTTGCTTTTACAAGCAACAGCCATGAGGGCCCTCAGGACCCTCATGGCTGTTGCCATGAAGTTCTATTTAGTAATTGTGTTTAAAACTTTATTAGAATCGGCTACGGGAAAAAGGGACATTTTTGCCATGGACGTGGAGACCGAAGGTGCACTGAGAAAGGGAGAGGGGATGAGAATTAAGCTGAGAGAGAAAGAGAGAAGGGGAGAGAGGGCAAGAAAGACAGAGAATAAATGAGAGAAAAAACAAAAACAGAGAATACAGAATAAATAGAAGTCTGTTTCCACACATGCAGAGGGAAGAAAATAAAAAAGAAAAGAACACACCAACTATGACAAAAGAGGGAGTAGGGAAATGGCTGAACACAGTAAATACATGTAAACAAACATCAAAAGCAAAATCTGTGAAGATTACACATTTATTCAGCGCTATATATAGTTCAAAGAGCAGCTTGATATTAAGCATAACTACATATTTCAATACCTGGAACCAAATGCCTGTAAAGTATATCCATAAGTGTGTGAATACAAATAAGTTTTAAATGGCTCCTTCAGCAAGAATATAAGCTTAATAGCAGGTGTGAGGGGTTGCAACAGATATTTTAACAAAGCCCAGAGGAAAGCAGCCCCATTTTTGTTCAGAGTAATGGACTACAAAACCTGAGAAAGGTTACATTTCCTCCCCCCTAAAGAGGGTTTTCTAGGTTTGGCACGTGTTGTAATTATCAAGGGAGACAGAGGCACTAAAAAATTCTTATAGTTCCTGGAGTATCTTGTGCCTGGACACAGTGCAGTTGCTGACCACACATCATGGCAGCTGGTCAGGGTGCTCTCAGTGTTGCCTCTGTAGAAGAGATAGAGATGTCGCTTGGCTCTCATGGTCAGTGATGCTCGTTTTCCAGGTGGGCACTATAACCTCTATCATTTTCTCTTAATTCCAGGAAAGATTATCTCTGAAATATGGGATGGTTTAATTGCTTTGTTTATTTCATCTACATTCTACAGCTTAAATGCAATGTTAATGCTTTTTTAAAAATGATTAAGTATTATGTTTTAGGGCTGCTCAGTGGGTAGCACTGCTTCCTTGCAGCAAGAAGGTTCTAGGTTTGATTCGCGGCCTGCATATTCCCCCTAAGCATGTGAGGGTTCTCTCCAGGTACACCGGCTTTCTCCCACAGTCCCAAAACTTGACTGTTGGGTTAATTATCTTCTCTAAATTCTCCTTAAGTGTGTGTGCATGAATGGTTGTTTGTCCCGTTTGTCTCTGTGTTGCCCTGCGATGGACTGGCAAACTGTCCAGGGTGTACCCCACCTCTGGCCCTTAGACAGCTGGAAATAGGAACCAGCACCCCTCGTAACCCTGCTTGTGATAAGCGTGACTGAAAATGGATCGATGGATGAATATTATTTTGTTTATGGTAATGTTTCATCATATGTATATTTAGTAAAACATTTAAAAAAGAACATTAATACCTCTTTAAGGGGGGGCGTGGTTAAAACTATTATTTTTTAGAGCTCTTAGAGACCCGCAGGAGGCATTGTATATGTTTTGTTTAAAGTAATTAAAATATTAAATAGGTCATAGACAGTGCGACTATTCCACCTGTATTGCAATTGGAAGCACAGATTGTTTACCTAACATTTAGTCTTTGAGGAAGAGCCTAATGCATTTTCTTCCTTTTCTTCAGCTGCAAAACCAGAAGAAAAGACTGAAGTTCCATCTGTGTCTGGAAAAGTGGATGCTGATAAAGGAGAAAAGAGGAACAAGGAAGGGAAGAAAGACAAAAGTGCCAAAGAAGGGAAAGGTGATGAAAAGGACGCTTCAACAAAAAAGAAGGGAGAAAAAGGAGAGAAAGAGGAAAAGGGAGCGTCCAAGAAAGAAGGTGGCGAAGGAAAAACAAAGAAGGTTGACAAAGGAGAAAAGAGCGACAGAGGCAAAGGAGGGGCTAAAGCAAGAAATCCGAAAAATGAACACTGAACCCCTTTAAAACAAAGAAAAATATCTCCCTTTTTTATTATACTCAGCAAATGTTATACTTTTCTAAAATAAAAGTTGTATATTGACTTCAAAATAAAGTTAAATCAATTTCAAAAACCGTGCTCCTCAGTGTTTAAGTAAGAATCAGAAAAAAAGCAGAAAATAGTGAAATTACATTTTTATTTTCTTACACTGTACTGATGATCAGAACATTTTCTCTAGTATTTACAATGATATATACATATACCTTCATCAGAGCTGACTGAAATGATGAAAACACATATCTAAGGAAACACTGCCAACATACTGTACTAGAGTTTTACACAAGGCCTTAAAACTAATCCTACCTCCACTGTGTACATTTCAGCATAAATAAATGACATAAAACACACCATTTACTTCCAGAAAGAGGTATTTATAAGAGTTATAGCATTAGCTTTATGAAAATTGGTCTCAAATTTCTGAAAAACAATCACTGCATGAGCGAAAAACATCAAAACAGAATATTGTGGAAAAGGAGATAAAGTGCTTAAATAAAAATCCAAAGTGTTTCAATGCAAAGGTACTCTGTTCTGACTGACCTTATTACAGAAAGGTTATTAACAGTAATTATATTTAGTTTTTTTTACATAATATCTTTTGCAAAGGATATGCAATTTTAGTAATAAAAAGTTTATATACGTTTATGAAAGTCATATTTCTACCACACAACAAGGAACAGACATCATCTTACATTAGGTCTATGGATCCACTAAACCTTCTGTTGTACTGTACTTGTCACAGTGGGAGTGGGTAAAGAGGTGTAAGATATTTCTTTTAGATGAAGTAAACTAATTTGTACATTTTCACAATGCTTGTAGTGTTTTTAATACTCAATGAAAACAGTGATGTGTCTATATGTCTAAACAGTCAAAATTCTTTTTTTTGGAATAATGTTTTAAAATGTGTAAAACACTGGAATGCAATTTGTGGTTTTCTGCTTGTATGTAATAATATGATTTAAAAAAAAAAAATTGTTAGACTTTACAGTTTATGTTCTACTGTAAACAAAGCACCGAGATTTCTTTAATAGATGGAGAGAAGGAGAGCTGAAATATTAATACCTATTTTAGCAATTGTGATATAAAAAATATATATATTATAGATTGTAATTTCGGTTTGTATGTTAAACATATGGTAGTAATGTGGATATATCCAGTAGCTCTTTAATGAGCCCATTACTAGATTTGATGCTGAATGCAGTCTGAATTAATAGTCACATTTTAGATCATATCTTCAAAAACATGTAATTAACATCAATGGAAGATGTTGTTTTTATGTATGTTTAATCTTTTTTAAAGAGGATTACCACAATATTGGGTGTAAACATATAATGCTATTGAAGCATAACATTTTTCCAAGCTATTCCAAGCCTTTTTTCTTTGGTATGATAATAACATGTCGTACACTGTCAGCCATAAAGGCTTATTACAGGGTTTTGGAATGTGTCAAAAACTAACTGTATGTATGTGACAGTTCTGTTTTCAGTCTCGACAAATAATGCTGACATTCTTTTAACTAATACCTGAGCACAACTATGATACAACAGCTACAGGACATATACGTGCGACAACATTTAGCTCACAAATAAGACTGTATTTTGATCTGTAAACATTGTGACTTGAATATGAAAAAAGTTAAAGCCACACTATTGGGCTTTTTTTAAAATCATTTTGCAGAAACGTCTCTCCCTGATTGGTGGGGAAATCTATTCTAACAAACCTATTACATTTCCTTTTTCACTCAGGAAAAAAGGCTTCCTGTTTCCACTTGTTTTGAATAGGGTTTAATACCATAAAAATCGTGAAAGATATCTAGCGATTAAATTAACTATTCATGTTCTTTCTTCACTACAAAGTGCACATAACTAAATAGCTATGTTCCTTTTTTATAATCCATTTTACATTGTGTAATTTTTCTCAACTAAAACTGTTTAAAAAGTACTTTAATTTGAATATATTAGAATTTACAGGATAGTTTTCTTGAACTGTAATGGAGGTCACCTTTAACTTTTAAGAAAAAAGTTAATGTAACACACATATTTCAGAAAAGTGCATGGTAAGTCAATACTATAAGAAATGTACATGTTACAACCCACCTTAGAACACAGCTAAACTTTTCAAATCATCCAGAAACGGAAGTCGCAAGAAAATTCCTTGATAGTTAAAGGAAAGCTACAGGTAAGTTTCATCAAGGTTCATAGTAAGTTCTTGGAAAGCACATTTTGGTTAGCCTTGTATTAAACTCAACACTGGAAACTACTCAGTTTCATAATAGTTCAATGAAAGTACCTGGATAATTTAATCAATGTTCCTAGTAAGTACTGGATGCATCACATCGTGCAAGCACACTTTTTAAAGAAAAGATATGGAAATTTATACATTCATTACAATCCTTCATAACCCTTCTGATTAGAGGAAATAATATGTCAATCAAAACAGGAGTATAACAGATGACAAGATAAAAAACAAAGCTGACAAGGTTTAAAAAGCTTGAAGTCTGGAGTTGTATAAATTGCAGAAACACCACCTCAAAAATATAAAATCTTGTGTTCGACAACAAAGGATTTTAATTACCTGAGTAACTTCCCTTTTACACTGACACAGATGTGAGTCAATGCAGAAGAAATATGACCCATGCCACAAACAAGAAATGCCGTAAAAAATGTCTGGAATAACTTCTTTTTTTTTCTAAATAATTACTTTGAGAATGACAATTCCCCAGCTTTGATTTACAGTTAGTATGTTAGGCTGATCTCTCTTTAACGTTAGGCTTAAATTATAAACAAAACATTAATATGCATTGTATGCAAACAGAAATCTCCATTAAAAATAGTCATGGCAGTAAAATCAACCTTTTCAAATTTCAGCCGGTCTGAGGCTTTTACACATTCTCTGCTGTAGAAGGTTGATGAGCAAAGACGGTCTGCCATAAGAAATTTGGCATCTTCCTTGGAAAAGCAATATTTATCTTTTTTATCCCTTGAGCCTCATCCGTTTGCAATGTTCAGGCTCAGTTTACAGGAGAAAAGAATTGGTACTTCATGCAGTAACTACCTTCAGACGCACCTAAGAGTGTCCATGATTTGCCTTTCCCCTCTCCCTCACATGACTGTCTCCCTCTCCTCCTCCACTACAGGTGTAGGTTTCTCTTGCTCGCTAGACCGTGTATGTGTAGACTGATCCTCTTCAGGGATATGGAGTTCCTGGCCCGAGGAAGGTACTGAGTTCTCAGAGACGGATCCATTCTTTACATATCCAGGAAGGTTCCTGTGGCCATTTACAGGCACTGGCCCTAGCCTTGTGGTGAGGTGGAGGGCCAGGGGTCCTCTGGCAGTGACATTGGTTACGCTGGTATGTGATACCATTGGACCATAACTGTAAGTATTACTTCCACTTCGAGCTTTTCTCTTGAAATCAAGAGCCAAGGTTCTTCTGCTCCATGACTTCTTGATCTCAGCTTGCACCTACAAGGAGAATTTATGTATCTATTAGGGATTTATCTGACACTGATATCTAAAAAGAAATTTCAAAGCAAACCTATGGCATGTTTACCTCTCCGTTGCAAAAACAGTATATGATTGCAACAAAGAAACCCTAAAAGAGAGAGCAAACTTATTTAAGGTACACTGTACAAAAAAAGGCAATTAGCACTCACTAATATGACATTTAAACTGTGTAATTTGACATTTTCGTTGATATTTTCCCTCATCAGTTATCCATGCCATATTCTCAATCTTAATTAGGATCTTATATACCATTAGTAACCAAACCATAAAAAACAGACAGTCTGCAACTGCTGTATGGTGATAATATTAAACCTTAAGGGCAGATTCTAGACAGGTCAGTCAGATTTCTTAAACATGGAAAGACATTTAGGGCTCCCACAGTAATATAGTAACATTTCCAGAATATCTACCTCATTTAATTTTTTTTTTACCTGGAAGGAGTTGAAAAGCATCTCATAGTGCATTTGTATCAACCATGGTATTCCAGAAACCTCTGTATATGGCATGGCATGAAATATGATGTAGTGGACGCCGAACAATGGCATCAGCACCAGTGTAGACTTCAAGAGTTTTCTGCAACAGAACATTTCGCAGTCAAAAGTTTACTTTACAAAAATAAGTAACCCTAAAAAACAACAAAACCAGATAAAGTTAAAAAAGCTCAAGTCTTACTGTATTTGTAAGTAAAGCTGCTGAAAAGTTTGCTTATTTGATGGCACGTCTCAAAATACATTTTATACAAAACATGAAGAAATTGAGCATATTTTTTATGAAACTGCGTAAATTCTCAGTCATCCAGATCATGGCTACCACAAAACAGGCTTCAATTGGAGGAAACCAGACATATGTTATGAGCTATGGTCATAACCAAATGAACCAGATTTCAGAAACTAACATTAACTTCCTCCACAGTATGCCAGCCTTAGAGGTAGGATGAGGAGGTCCATTTGGTCCTAATGGTCAAATTAGAAATTGCTCCTTTGCATAGGAAAGAGTGACCTGAGGTAATAATTATAATTAAATTTTATTGATCTCGCATTGGAGAAATTTACCAGAGTAGAGGCTATGGGGATTAAACCGGATACTTGCAACATTCTCAGAGCACAAGTGCACTGCTCTAGCCCACTAGGCCAACACTCCCCTAGTGTGATTTCAGTGATTCTGGGTGCTTAGGAGGTTTTCCCACTGGAAGGACATCCTAACACCAATCTAAATTACGTTGGAGGAACTGTATATCTCCTCTGTGCTGGGAATGCCTTTGGATCCTAGGAAATTTATTTGGGTGAAGCCAACACGCTAAAATCTTTTGGTCTGTTTATAAAGTTGGTTTCTAAGTGTTTCATGTTGCCAGAATTTTCCTCTCACTAGGTCTTTGTCCCTACCCTAGGTAAAGTTGTACTAGTAACCTTTAATTTCTAAGTATACTCCAAAATACGCTGGATTGTTTTCAGGTAAGCTGGATTGTTTTGCTGTACCATTGGCTTAGGTGTTTCCCACTTCCCATAAGGGATACATTGAAGGGATAGATATATTAATATAAAACATATTTGAAATATTCAATTAGTATAACTATTCCAAGAAGTTAACATGATAAGGCAATTAGTTCTCCAGGTTTGAAACAGGACCGAATTGCTGTCCTTCCCTTTCATTTTATGCTGCTTTTATTTGTCTTTATATGTTTGAACAACCTCGCTTCACCATAATTATCTGAGCTGCTTCAGCCTTAATGCCCACCTTAATAAATTAGGTCTTCTGCTGCTGACCTTCCCTAAAACTAGGCTAAAGCTCAGAGGTGACAGAACATTTGCTTTATTAGCTCCTACATTATGGAATAAGTTACCCTTAAGTGTCTGACAGGCCTCCTCTTTTCTTGTTTCAAAATCTTTTTTTGAAAACACATTTCTATTCCTTGCATCCAAACACTGTTATCTAGTTATGTATGAAACTATTCCTGTTGTGAACCTGGTTAATGTGTCTATTTTGAATCTTATGTATCTATTCTTAACTTATTCTTGTTTTTTATCTAGAGCACTTTGGTTACCCCTGAGCATTTTCAAATGTGCTATAGAAATAAAGTTTATTATTTGATTGATTGAACCTCATATAATATGCAATATTTGCAATAACAAACACTGAAAAAATAGCATTAAAACAGTACTGTTGAACACGTTTGCTACCATTTAAGGTGCGATAAATGACTTGTGTGAAAATCTGTTTTTCTCTTGCAAAATAATTACAGTACTTGATGTTTGCAAGCAAGTCATGATGAATCCACTGGGAGAAACAACCCAGAACATTTAACGAATTCACAAGCATGTTTTCTTCAACTTCTCTGTACCGGTACTGTTGTCTGGTGTCACACCTCCCAGCATTTGTTTCACGCAGCTTTGTTGCCAAGACTCTGATGATGTTCAAAAATAATATAAAATTAATCTGAGGAGAAAATAGAAGACAATGATATGAATAGGTGTAACTGGAAGCATAAGAAGCTCATTTTCATTCAACAGCTATAAAGCCACAGGTGCAGTGAAGTAGTGTAATTTCCTGCACACAATTGGGATAAGGTTCAATCTGCAAGTGTGCACTCACCACCACAGTCACCAGGATAGGCACTTGGTATATCCATTTTAAATTGCCCGCACTTAAGTCCCAACACCTATGCAAGTAAACAACAAAATGAGAGGGTAAGGGTTCAGGAATAGAGGGGTAAGTAGATTCAAAACACTGCTGCTCCACTCGAGTGTCTTCAATGATCTCTGACATTGTTTCATGATGTTACAAAAAGGAAAGTGAAATTTGATAGGGCATTTCATGTCTCCTCATCTCAACATTTATAACACTCCTAAACAAGAGTGTCAAAGAAATCTAATTAAATTTAACAAAGCACTCGTATTAGAGCTCTGACTTTAATCCCTGACTAATTCATTCACCCTGTGGTTCAGGTACATCCATTCAACGCTTGTCTTTGTCATTCAAAGGTCTAAGGAAATTGCTAAAGTGTCCTTTCAGGAAATTAGTCTCATTAAATATTTTATTTATTAATTCAGTATTGGCTTAATGGTGGTGTGTCAGGACTGATTTAAAGGTATGATGCTATTTCTGCTCTGTTTTGTAATGCTCCAGGGCAATGCTCCAGTTAATAAATGTCATGCTTGGGTGTCTTTTCTGCCTGAAAGGACACTGAAGGTAAGCAGAGATGATCGTTGGGACTTTCACCAACTTTGGGACCCCAACAAAGTGAAACTAGCTGATCTAGCTCCACTTTGCAGGTGCTGAACACAGCATCTGATAGTCCACATGATTTCCAATGCAGACACTTATTTTACTGAATATGGTGGCTTTTATAGAAAGGGTTAGATATATTATGTTAATGGTGCATTGTGACTTTCTGCACCATCTCAATTTCTATTGTAACATAGTACACCAGTTTGCCCTATTTTTCTGGAGTGAAGAAAAGTAGTGCTGCCTGGAACGGACATGCAAAACTGACAGAGTAGCCTATAGCTGGGCTCTTCTGAACGAGCACTTCTGGCTGTGATCTGAGGATTTTTGTAGGGAAATTGTTGTGAACAACAAGCATCTCAATTTGCTGGAGGAACTATGGGGCCTGATTTCCAGACAGAGGAGGATATTAAAGGGAGATGCTATTTCCATGCATTTCAGTGCATCTAATATGAAAAAGGTGCCAAATTAAAGATGGTCGGCAAGTAGGGCTCAGCAGGTAAGAGTAGGTCCTTGTCTCAAAAGCAACCTTAGATATCAATATTAACTGTTAATGAAGAAAAACCAGAAATGAGTATAATCAAAATAAGAGATCAGTTGTAAAGGCTATTCATGTACAATATCAACTCCACCAGAATCCAGCTCAGCTCAAATCCTGTACTCAAAAGTTACAAAGACATTCACACTATTATATGTAATGAAAACAGCATGAGTATATATATATATATATATATATATATATATATATATATATATATATATATATATATATATATATATATATATATATATATATATATATTATATATATATATATATATATATATATATATATATATATATATATATATATATATATATATATATATATATATATATATATATATATATATATGCTTGAGTAAGAAGATATTTTAAATTTCTCCAATGTGAGATCAATAAAGTTCAGTTATGTAAAGCCTGTTACACATAAAGCAGGTTCTTTAAAACCTGTTTGGTATTTGGGAAATCTATCTCTAATTTTAAAATATTCGTTAAGGGTCTTAAAAACTACTGAACTCTCATAGTAATAATATTCTTCACTAATAGAATGTAGACATCATGTTTTAAAGACAACTCAAAATAGGCTAAAGGGGGTGTGGGCTGAGGATATTTACAATAAAATGGGACCTAGTTGGAACAATAAAAAAGTGTACAACATAAAACTTGCAAAAAAAACATGAATGCAATTCTTTCTAAACAAGTTTGTTTGTTTGTTTGTTTCAAAGATCTGCTTGTCTCTTCATGTGAGCGATCATGTACATCATATGCTTTCACTGCAAAGGTCTTTTAGCTAGGAGTTATTCTGAGGTTTGCTGTAGTTCCTAATTAACCTAACTTAAACATCTCCTCCAACTGAACATGTTCTTTATGCCACTAACCTGGTTAGCTTTTTGATCTTTTCTAAATAGCTATTGATGTCTAAAACATCTCAGAAAAGAAATATTACAAAACCTAAATATTGAATATTGTACTCGTACTCGTACTATTGAATATTGTTTAAAACATATCAAGGACTGCTTCTTAGTGAGCTATATTGCAAAAGTATTAAAAAATTGTATAATGGACTTTGACAAAGCGAATGATGCTTTCACAGATCAGAAACCAGGCCTTAGAATATCAGAGCATAATACAGTATATTCCAGGTTTGAGGCATCCAATGTCATGATCCTGACTCTGATAGCTGACCTAATTGCTCATTTCACTCACCTGCCTAACTCTGTCTGGTTACCAATTATCACTAATCTCATCCACCTGCTCCTGCTGCTTTATATACAGCTCAGCCCAGCTTTCAAGGCCAGATCATTGTTTCTGAGTCTTGACTTGAATATTGTGTTGCTGAGTTTGACTGCTGAGTTCTCGTTCTCAGAGGCCAGTGGTGAAAGAGGGTTTTTTAGTTAGGTTTTTTTGTCGTAGTGTTCCTGATCATGTCTGGTCACTTATCCATTGAGCGTGCCCTGTTCCTGTTCTTGGTTCAGTTGGGGGAGCACATTTTAAAGTAATGTAGTTTTCCTGATATCCTAGCTTTTTCTGCCTCTCAACTACTGAGCTTGCCTGTTGCCTGACTCCTGGAACCCTGGACCTGCCTATTCCTGGATCTTTGAGCCTTCCTGTTCTGAACTGTTTCCCTGACCTGGCTCAGATTCCTGCCTGTTCACTGGGTCTGCTGCCTCTGGTTTATTTTGCACGGTGAAGCAGCTTATATAGGGATATGTTGAGGCTCATTTTATGAAGCAAAAAAAAAAAGAAATTATTTTAATTTTTGGACAATGACAAACAACAAAAATAATAATAAATAAAGTTATGAAATAATATTTCAATAACTCATGGAAATGTGACAAACATCATAAGCATCATCTGCTTCAAGGAAAAAAGGACTTTTATAATTTGACAAGAATAACAGCAACATAAATTATGTATATCACTTACTCTGTGTCGGCAAGCGTGGCTCTCACAGTGGCCCAGATGGTCACAAATACAGCTGGGACTCCTAGAAAATTAATCAAAAGCAAATCAAAACTGCTTCCATGTAATCATATTATGAAAATCATCAAAATCCAGCAGTTTCCTGTCCTGTATGAGTAGAAATTGGATAAAACAGCATCCACATTGTATGCGCTGTGCTTATGTAATCTATACGCACAGTGTGTACAATGCAGGAACTGTAATACCCAAGCTTTTGCTTTTTCATAAATCAATATCTTTAAGGCATTTAGTATTGCCTCCCACAGCTTTTTACTCCTTTCCCAATAAAGAGGGGCAAAATAACACACCTGTTTATCTTTACTGTTTAACATCAGTAATGTTGTTTATGCTGCATTTTATCCAAAACATACTGCAAACATTTGCACCCAGTCCTATATAGTCTTCTACACCAAAAAAAAAAATACATGCAATCAGGGGTCTTTAAAGGTTCCCTAATACATAAACAAAGTCCAACTAAGTGTAATTTAATCCAATTGTTCTCTAAGGACATCTAATGTTTGTTAGAAAACATTTTCTATATAAAACTATTATGAAACACAGGTCAGGAATAACAATGAGCAATCCATTACAACAGCATTATGAAAACACAGCCATTATTAAAAGGAACACAAATTAGAAGCCCTGTTTGCAACTTGACACTATTGCTCTTGGGGACAAGATGCTCTGGTCAGATGGGATTAAACTTATAAAGTATAACACTATCACTACATTGAGCCAAGCTGATGGCAGGAATAATGAATGTCAGAGTTTGACAGAGCTACAAATTGTGGAATACAAGTTTTTATTCTGCAAAAGACCTAAGAGTGAAGGGTAGGTTCAGCTTCCAGCAACAGATAAGGCTAAACATACAAGCAGATTTACAATGGAATGGATTCCTTTTTAAAGGGAAAATTAATACAAATGCATACCAGAGTTTTCCCATTTTTATTGGTTAAACATTTCACATGTGCACTTTATAATTTAGTACATACTACTCTGTAATGAAAATCTTTTTACAAGAAACTCTAGTGCAATATAAAAGTAAGAGAACTTACCCCACCCTATCAGTGTAAATCCCCAAAGATACTTTTTGTCAGAGAAAAATGTCATAAATATGAGACTGTGCAGGTAGAGACCCTCCACAAGGATCCAGTAGTAATTGGTCGCCAGAAAGTACATAAACAAGGTCACCACCACCTTGCAGGTAATCTATAAAATAATAGCAGACAAAGCAGAGCACATTAATCATTGTTCATGATGGTAAAATCATCATGTTCTCATGTCCTGCTTTGTTATTAAGTTTAATGATTCTGAAAAACTTAATATCTGCCAAGACTTTAATAAAACTCATGAGTCTGAGACTGATATATAACCTAAAAAGATAGTGAAATTGACAGAGCAAACATATTTAAACAACCATATAAAAACAGAATCTAACAGGAGTCTATCCTAGAAACAAACGCAGAATAAGTTGCAAAATTACTGAATTTGAACTGGAATAAAACACAGAGTCAGATCAAGTACAATGAATAAAATAATTTTCAGAATGAACTTTATTTGCTGCTACGTTATTAATGATTTAGATCGCTCTGGGCTTTTTGTCAATTCCATAATTATAAAGAAATGTAACAGATAGAAGAATGGATTATCTTTACTCATTTCCTTGTATTCTTTAGTCTTATACAACTTGCTCTATGCATCATTTAGATCTTATCTGACTAATATTTGATGGGGCCTACTTTCATCAACAGCACTCAGTCATGTACTTTGATCCAGACAAGGATTTATTTTTCTTCAGATTAACGTTCAAACACGTTGACTATTCTTCCAACATGTGGTACTTGTAAAAGTATTTAAAATTCCTATTTCTGTACCTTGTTTATGCAACAGTAAAACAAAACAAAACAAAAAATCTGCTTAATTTGGTCATTAAAACTAAGATTTAATTAACTAGAAAATTGCAGAGTGGACTTTTATACATGCATATCTCATCCAGCCTGTGGTTTGCTAAATTAGTCATTCTAGTAATCCATCATTACTCTGATAATTTCACTATTCACTCGTCCCAAAGGCAGTCTCTCTGCTTCTTTTCTATAGCAACCCTTGTTTCTAATGTTTTAAATAGATGATTTTCTGTGGACAGATTTTTGTCTTGAAAAATAATTTGTGATGGTAATGTTCATACTGCAACTGCAAAGACTTTCGTTTCCATTCTCTTCTAACAAATATGACATTTTCATTTTATACAGTCCTCCAAACTATTTTATTATTAATATTCAGGCAAATACTAAATCATCCACTTAGAATTTAATTTGTAAGTGGATAATAAGGTTTGGATTTTTTTTAATTACAACCTTGTTATTATCAGGTAAGTATCACCTAATATGAAAAATTCAGTCTTTTTTACAGAGAGAACAGGCCTGTATGAGATGCCACATACTGATATCTTAAGTCATAAGAAAGAACACAATGACTAAAGCTTTGTTTTAGGCATTTGTGCATACATATGCACACCTGCATGAATGCAAAACACTGAGGTTGATTGAATTGTAACAGCTTGTGAGACTGATTGATTATAAACCTTAATAAAATGTAGCATTCCACATCCCAGACCTTTCTGCTAACCTTGCCAACAATGCTATAGCTTTAACCTTTTCATGATAAATTTCAAAACCCGTTTTTCTTGTAGTTTGGATCTTTGATTAATAAATTAACATATCACAAAGATCGGTTTCTGTTTTACCTTGGATAATATTCGCAATTAATTTCAACTTAACATGAATGAAGCTTTGAATGGATGAATACAGCAGACCGAAACATCTACATTAAAAACTACGTTGAAGCCTCTGTATTAGTTGATTTAGTTAAACAGAAGAAAGTTGTGACTTGTAAGAATATACTACGCAAATGTTTGCATATTAAAGCAACCATGAAAAGTAAACAGTCAATTCCCATTTTGTAGCTTTACTCTGAAAGGGGAAGCCAAGTGTTGGCTTAGCTAAAACTTGGCAGGGTGATAGGCAGTCCAGTCAATTTTCTCTGGTACTGGAAAAGCTGGTTAGTTTTAGCATATGTATTACTTCCACCAAGGAAGTAAAATCAAAACACTCATGCACACTGATAATCAAATTATCTGGGTAGCTGAACAGGAGCTGATTATATATGAAGTGGAATACTTTCGACAGCACATGTAACATGAAAACAGTTTCTATGTTTAGGTTCAACTTACAAAATGTGTTTTGCTGGCAGGTGGGGCTTCAGTGATGGACTTGAGATCCTCCACTGGGACTCCTTCCATGTTCTCTAAAGCAGATCCAGAGTAGAGAACTATATCTTTCACGAATATACTTATAGCTCGTAGCATGTAGGACACAAATAAGTGCATGTGGATGTAGTTTCTAGTGCAGTGCAGCCGCCTGGGGATGACAAAAAGCATCAAAAGACTGATTTACTGAAAGAACATTTTCTTTAAACAGTTAACGTTTTAACAGATACAACCCAAGGCATACAAACTATGTTCATCCTAAAGAGAGCATATTATTTCTGAGATGTGTACTGTACTGTATAACGCAGTCTGCAGTTTCAGGAAAAACTGTTAATTTGAATGCTGAAATAAAATTTTAGTTGGTGTGGAATATCCTTAACATTCTCTGTGGTTTAACCTTTGGTGCCACAATCCACTGGGCTCAATTTGCTGGGTCAATAGACTTAAAGGTTAAGCTATCGCATTAAAAAAGGTAAAGAAAATATTTACTGAAGGTTTTTGCTGCCAAACATTTTAAGGCTTCGCATCTACCTGAGACAAAAATGAACCCCCTGTATCCACAATCAGCTCTGTCCACAAATTCTTTCACTAAATCTCATTAATGAGTTGACAAGGTGCCCTTAGAGAACTATTGATTTAAGAAAAACCATCCAGCAAACATATCCCAGGTGAAAAGAAAAAAAAACTGAATGCAAGTGCTAATGTAAAATATCCCTTTGCTCCCTCTGGAAAATGTTTATGAGCTCTCCTTTCTTAAAGCTGATGTGCTGAAGGGGAGACATGGCTGTAGCACTTTGGAGCCCAGTGCCAGAATGTCAGATGGGCCCCAGGGATAACTTATTAAACTCATTTGGCACATATATTTCCTGGTGCCAGTTGGAAACATTCCTAAAACCTTTCTGAGTGACTGCCTGTACTGTAAGTTACGTCGGTGGAAACATTAGTAAACAGCACATTCACATTGATTCTTGATACTCCCTGTGCCCCAAAAAATAAGCAAATACTGACCAATCTGCTCTGCGTGAAACAAAATGATCCAAATTCAACCCTGTTAAAGGACTATATCCATTCAAGAAGTCAGCTTTTGGGTAAAAAGACTAAGATCAGCTAAATACCTCCAAAAAATTATTGACCTTATATATGTATATATATGTATGTATGTATATATATATATATATATATATATTAGTGCTGTCAAAATTATCGCGTTATTAACGCGTTAACGCGAGGCCATTTTAACGGCGATAATTTTTTTAACGTGAGATTAACGCTATGTGGTTTTATGGTACAATTTTTCCAAGTACATCCCGCTGCAGCCTGCGGGAAGGCGGGGCTATTTTCCCCCAGTCTATGCATTTCTCATAGGCTTCTAGAGCGGAGCTCCTCAAGGGAAAAAGACGCTCATACACTGGGTGACGCTAGTGCCTTTTCTTTAAGCCCCACCACCAACAAACAAGTTGAGTGTCTGGTAACTAGTAGCAACCTGAAATACGCTGAGAAAACTGATTACTGAGGTGAAATGGAATCTCGTAGCAGCACTCTTGCCGTCTGTGTACGCAACAGGTCAGTATCGCGTGTGTGTGTGTGTGGGTGGGTGTGTCTGTGTGTGGGTGAGTGGGTGTGTGTGTGTTCTCATTTTTGTTAAGAGGCTGAAAAGTAACTTTCTAGAGAGCATAGACTACCTTCATCTAGTGATGTCGGTCTATTGATTTTGATGTATTGATTGAAAATTGTTCATTATTACCTTGGTTAATTAACATCTAATGTTAACTCTACTGCATTTTATAGCGGTAGGGTAAAATGCTTGTCTTTGTTCAAAAGACTGTATTAACTGTAAAGACTGTCTTTTACATCAGCCTGTTTTCAGGGCCTTTTTTTTGGCTACATATTTGTTATTTTTTGCTACATGCCTCCCCATCTTCTTGCCATATGTTTCTATGGCATAAATCAGTATCTGTGACCTGTTTTCATTTTAAAAAAAGAACATTGGCACAAACCTAGCCTGTATGTATTTTTTTGTATGTCATCGAGAGTATTTAAATGATTTTCAATCAGGAAAAAAATGTGCGATTAAAATGCGATTAATCGCGAGTTAACTCAGGCATTGATGCGATTAATCGCGATTAAAAAATTTAATCGATTGACAGCACTAATATATATATATATATATATATATATATATATATATATATATACATATATATATATATATATAGATAGATAGATAGATAGATAGATAGATATATGTTTATATATCTATATCTCTCTATATATATATCGATATATAGATATAATATATATATATATATATATATATATATGTTTATATATCTATATCTCTCTATATATATATCGATATATAGATATAATAACATATATATATATATATATATATATATATATATATATATATATATATATATATATATATATATATAATTTTATTATTGTATTATTTATATATATCCTTTTTTTTTAACCAAGGTTATTAGATTTATTTAATATTTATTATTTATTGAATAAATTATATGCATAGCTTTGTTATGAAATCAAGCTCCTTCAATTAAATTTATACAACTAACTGCCAGTGAGTCCCAGCTGGGTGTAGTTCAAAATATCATTACAACATAAGAGGTTAAGGCAACCTAACAGTATCCTACTAATACTGGGCTCTCTGGGCCTGGTGACTTTATACAAAAATCAAAACTCAAGAAGATTCAGTCAAAAATCAAACATACAGAGGAAGTGGCTCTAACGAGCCGACAATTTAACAAATTGTTAAAACTCCAGGCAAAGATAAACCAACCCTGTGGATGGCATCAAACTAACACTGAAAATCACTCTTCTTATATCATCTCTATGGTTAAACATGGTCATGGTGACATCCTGTTGTTGGGATCTTTAGTAGGGAAAGGGGTGATGTTTACTGCTGTAAAGAATATGCATAGAGCTAAATACAAGGCAATAGTGGAATAATATGCTATAAACCACAACAAACTTGAGTTTCGGGCGGGTGGTCATTTTTCAGGAGGACAGCCACCAAACGTATTCGTCCACGGACACGTTTGAATGGCAAAAAAAAAAAAAAAAAAAAAAAAAATCTATATATATGTTTGTTAGAAAACCCAGGTCAAAGTGGAGAAAAAATGTAATTGAGAATCAGGGGCAAAACGTTATAAGAGTTACTCCCTGTCCAATCTCACACAGCTTATGCTATTTTGCAAACAAGAATTGGCAAAAAAAAAAATGCCATTGTTTATTTGTGTCTATATTTAAAATAGCAGCCAAAGACAGCCATACAAAGTAATTATTCAAATGAGCTTTTAATTCATCATTGCTTTAAAAATTATGAGCCAATTTATGTTATTTCTTAAAAAAAGAAAAAAAAAAAATCAAATCCACACAGGGTTAGGGTTTTAAATGTTAAAAGGGTGTGAATAATCTTTTAAGTTTTTCAGTTAACAAACAGCTTTTCCAGGTGTAAGATTTTATTCAAATGTCTTATTCCTATATCATAATGATTTCTTTTTGTATGGTTCACATACAAAACCATAACATCAATAAACCAAAACCGCCATAATAAAACTGGATCTAAATGTCAGGCGATGAGGATGCATTACTGCAAGCCTTGAGGCAGTCAGTTCTACAAAGGTAATCATATCACATTCTTTTAAAAGTCAAAGTAAAAGTCAAAGGTGATGTTTAATTCAGTTTTCATGCTTAATGCTGTCATTATGATGGGAAATGTGGAGTATTAAGAGATCTATATACAGCTCTGCTTTAACATCACTATGGCATTCATGTGCTCTTTGTGTGACTATAAAAACATCCCCTCACTATTATGAAACATCAAGTCTTTCAGTTGATCCAGGCATAGCTTCTCGCCTGGTGTAAAAGTCTGTCCCTTGGGAACATCTTAGGTTAAAGGGATAAAAGGAAGTAACAGAGTAGACTCACCGAAAATATCCCAAGATGACAACAGCTACCATAAGTGATCCAAAAGAGATGGAGTACCCAACAGTATAAATGACGAACAAACGGTGGAAGAGATCCTGTTAAAGATGAATAACATGTTAGTTTCAACACTAAACAGGTCAAATGAGATATATACATTTGTTCCTATTTTAAGTGTTGATTTATTGCAGCATTTGACCCAAAACCCTCATGTTGTAGTAAAAACATAAAAAAAATGTTCTTTTTTTTAGAATCTTGCTACAGTGTATGGTAATCAAAATAAGAAGGTGGAGTACCTTTGCAAGTCCTAAATTTGAGTCATGCATCAAAAATTATTAAAACACTTACAATTAGGTTAAATTAGGTGTCTTTAAATCTAAATGTAAATATTCCCAACACTGATAAGGCAAATCAAATTTTATATTTGAGTTGAATAACAACAAAATAAATTAAACAGAAATATTACTTGGAATTTTGTGTTATTTTGATTTATAAAACAGAAATTACATTTTGAATTTGAATACCATAAAGTACCTGACTAAAAATACCTGAGTGTCAATTTTTTTTTAACCTTAAAGGAATAGTACACCCAAAACATGATTAGCCTTCATTTTCTACTCACCCCCATGCTGAACAACACTCTGGAGTACTTTTTTGATATCTCAAATGCATCTGGAGATCTGGGAGGCTTCTTGCTGTCTGCTGACATTCAAATAATGGAGGTGCCCAGCGCCCGAGGCAGAAAGGTCCATAAAAGTCCACAAAAAACCAGCGCATTCAGCTCGGCAAAGAACTCATGCTCTTCCTCAACACTGAAGTCCTCAGACATTTTTCTTTCGTTGTTTCTTTCTTTGCACAGGTAAACAGCACATTTCTTCTTTTACGCTTGCATTATTGGCAGAGCAGACGCTGAATGCGCACTTTCATCTGGTTTGGTCTGCCGACTTCCGTAGCGTCGTGAGCGCGCATGTGCGCGCTTTCAGGAAATCCCATACACTACTGTTTATGCTCTAAAAACATTCTAAATGACTTCGTTTCGAGTAAATTCTGGATGCTACCCACTCAGGACACTTGGAATACATTGGACGAGCAGTATGGAGGAATATTGACACGTTTTTTGTGGACTTTTATGGACCTTTCTGTCTCGGTCACCATAGACCTCCATTATTTGAATGTCAGCAGACAGCAAGAAGCCTCCCAGATCTCCAGATGCATTTGAAATATCAAAAAAGTACTCCAGAGTGTTGTTCAGCATGGGGGTGAGTAGAAAATGAAGGCTAATCATGTTTTGGGTGTACTATTCCTTTAATACAACATAAGCAATGCTCTAACACACCATAAACTGATAAAAATTCACTAAATTGCAAAAAGTAGTCTCTTACCTGCCTCGACTCTAATGTAATTTTATTTATATCCTATTCTTAAACACAACAGCTCAATATAATGTTAACTGCACCTTTAAGAGCTTTCAAGTATTCAGGAAAGGCTGTGCACAATGAGCAAGGAGGATTCTTATGGGGTCTTTTAACCATGTTTTCACAAGAGCCTTTGTGAGGCTGTAGACTGATGCTGAGGTACTTAGAGCTTAGAGCTTTGACAGTGTTTATAGAAAGAGTTTGCATGCATAGGTTTTATGGGAATGCATATTGATTTTATGGAAGTGTTTGGAACAATTACAATTTTTCGATTGGTGAATTCAATACTTTTGGCCATATACAGTACTGTATGTGCCATTGCATAAGAATCAACCCAATTACAAAGCATAAAGCAACCATTCAAAAACACAAGTACTTTATTGGGGAACAAAGAAGCATAGATATATACTAAGTATTGCATAAAACTATATAAAAATCACAGCCAAAACATAACTACAATTTTACAGATTTATATTTATGTCAATTTTGTATTATTTATATACTCTTTTATATATAGTTTGCCACAAAGTCATTTCCATGTACTAAGAGTAGCATATTAACTGTTTGTATCACTATGATAAAAGTTTCTACTCCAAACTTACATTTATTTATTTCCTGTACAAGAAAAATCTCAAGTCTTAGGAAGTGAATAATAGCCATGGAAGCGGAAGCTTGGCAATAAAAAGCCCCAATATACCAACCCTCTGAGAAACTCTCTTTACATCAACAAGCTCAGAAGCCAATGAACATCTAGTAAACTATACTGCTGTTATCATTTAGTATCATGTTCTTGTACCAGGAAAAACAGTTGTGGTAACAGTGTGTGGTATGGCAGCTTTTTAGTGCATGCTTCACTCTGTGGATATCTATTCCTGATTAATTTCTGGGAGCACTCCTTAGGGAAAATATCGACCCCTGCAGTCATTAAGGGGACAGTTGTATGGTGCTGCTTAGAGACAAGCATGGATGAGATAGCTTAGCACACCTTCATGCCAACTGAAATGCATTTTAGGTTTAGAGGTTTGAAGTCTGTAATATAAAGGAATACTGAGTAGAAACACAGCTTATATTGGGGATTGCAACTGCTATCAAACATCTCCAATAAAGATTCAGCAGCATCTATGGCAAAATAAGGCCAATGAATAAGATTTAAAAAAGCTTTAAGCCAAATAGATTTTATTGGATCTTAACTGCTCCAGCTTTAAATTATAACATGAGGAGCTGCAGAATATTTCCATACATATTTTAAAATCTTTCTATTATACACTTTATAACACAAATAATATTCACTTCAAAGAAAATATACAATTATCTCAATATAGCCCTAATTTTGCAATAACTTCTTACCTACAACCATTAAGTAGGAAAAAGGTGAAAAAATGAAATGATAACATCTCAACCCTTTTCCCGTTTTCAATCAATAACAAAGTGAAATAAAAAGCCCAACTAGAGCTGGTAATGCATTGGTGGATTTACTTTACTAATATATTATTTTAGTCCAGCTCCAGTGAAAGAAGATTAGTAATGACATAACAAAAACAACATTTTCAAGATATAGTCAAAATCTCCACGGCCAAGGCGGGATCAATAAGGCTTTTAAATTTAAATCCCAACTACAAAATTCTGGAGATCATACTAAACCCATTGTTTTTTCAGTCATTTTAAGAACATGCTTTTAAAAGTTGTATTCAATAAAAAAAAAAATATTAGTATGAAGCAGATAAAAATTTAGAAGCTTCTCAGCGGTTTATAGACAATACAAAACACAAGCTGAGAGTGAAGAAACAAAAACTCAAGCGCAAAAAGAAAAGATATCAAACACCTCAAGGTTACCTGGGATGTAATAAAACCATTACCAGTCATTTCAAGCAACCATCACAAATACATATTTAGCCCTAAGACAAACAATTCTCAAGAACGCTCTAAAGGGGATTTGAAACTATGAGTAAAGCCATGTAAAAAAATGAAGCATTGAGTTACATTTTTTAATTAACATCTTTTCGACCAGTTTAAGTCAAGTATCATGTCCAAATAAAAAAGTAACAGAAGAGGCTCACCTTTTCATTGGTGTAGTTGTTAATATAAAGGAATTTTGCACATTCACTATAATTGGCCCATGTTTTGTTGACTGAGACTAGCTCCCACGTTCCATTGCTGTCACACCGACGGTATGCAAGTCCTAAATACCAGAAAGACAAGAAAAGCAAAAAAACATCAGTGTTTAATTACAGATTGAGGCTGTAAAATTAACTCAGTCCCACAGATGAAAAATTGAAAATTTCAGTATATAAATCCAAAAAGATGTAAATAAGGAGCAAAACATAGTATGTGGTAGAATTTGACCTTTTTATTTTGTTTAGGGCAGTGACTGGGCAAAATAAAACCAAGAAAAAAAAATATGCTTAACATTTAATGAAAACAGGAGGTCCTACAACAACCTGTGTTTTCTGTTTTTTGGCTTGTTAGACATACTATCTTATAGTATATTAATTTGACCAATATTAATAAATTAATAAAATTTAAAATAAACTATATAATTTACCTTCCCAATGTTTTATGAATGTTTCATAGTAAAACAAATAGCCAGAAACATTTAGCTAGTTTTCCTTCTTGCGGTTAAAGATAGCCTATTGGTTAGGTACTGATTTACAGATGGCAAGACATAATTAGAAATTATCTACTCCAGTATACAGAGAGTGGAGTAATTAAAAATTCGGACATTTAATGGAATTCAAGTGAACCCTAAAAGCAGGCTCCATGTTATTAAAATCAATCCCTTCAAAAACCCTGAAGCCTTTCTTACAGCCCACAGCATATTCTCAGTCAGAAAGAGATGCCATGAATCTATTTTAAAAAGGATGAGCTAGGAGAAAAGCTTTGCTCTTTCAAAACCAAAATAAAAGACACTAAGACAAGAGAGAGAAAAAAAATAACTTTGCTTTTTTGAAATATTTCAAAAACAGAACAGGACATTTTTTATGTACAGTGGTTACAGAAAGTATTCGGATCCCTTACATTTTTCCCTTTTTGCTTCTTGAAGCCATTTGCTAAAATAAAAAAAAGTTCATTTTATTTCTCATTAATCTGCACTCAACACTCCATCTTGACAGAAAAAACAGAAATGTAGACATTTTTACAAATATAATGAAAAAGAAAAAACTGAAATAACGAATGGTCATAAGTATTCACACCCTTCTTCTTCTTTTGTAATCTTTGATGGGGATTGGAAAACAATTTAAAAGTGCATTACCACCACCTACTCTTTCAGACCCTTCTTTGTGACAATTATTTTTAACTCACATGCCGTCCATTCCTTCTAAACCTCCTTAAGAGGGTTCTGCTTCTTTATTGGAGTCCAGCTGTGTTTAATTAAATTGATTGGTATTGATTAGGAAAGGTAAACACCTGTCTATATAAGACCTTACAGCAGTTTCAGAGCAAACGAGAATCATGAGGTCGAAGGAACTACCCAAAGAGCTCAGAGACAGAATTGTGTTAAGGCACAGATATGGCCAAGATCAAAAAGAATTTCTGCAGCACTCAAGGTGGATCATTGAAAATGAAGTAAATCGATTATCTGGGCTCATTCCTTGAAACTGACGTTTTCTGCCTTGAATCAGCATACTAGCTACACATCCTCCATCCATCCATTTTCTGTCATGCTTATTCCAAGCGGGGTTGCGAGGGGTGCAGGTGCCTATGCCAGCTGTCTACGGGCGAGAGGCATGATACACCCTGGACAGGTTGCCAGTCCATCGCAGGGCAACACAGAGACACCCAAAAATTCACACACACACTCCCACCTAAGGACAATTTAGAGAAGCCAATTAATTTAACAGTCATGTTTTTGGACTGAGGGAGGAAGCTGGAGTACCCGGAGAGAACCCATGCATGCTCAAGGAGTATATGCAAACTCCATGCAGAAAGAGCCCTGGCCGGGAATAAAACCCAGAACCTTCTTGCTCCACTGCCCACTGCCACACTGAACAGCCAGTATCACACATCCTCCTTCAATTTAATTTAAAAGAACAAATGCAGTCTTATTCCAGAATCTGTAAAAAATATATAAAAAGAAAAAAAAATGGCTCCTGTAACTGTGTGCTTTATTTTAAGCTTTGCATTTGTATAGCTATAAGGCATTAAGAGTTAAATCAAGTTGGTCAATGTAGAATCAGATTAGGATGTGAAATGTGTAATTTATATATATATTTTTAAAAGAGCTTCCGAGTAATGATTCTATCAAATTAAACCCTTTACTATCACTAAATACAGTCTTACCTTTATGGTTAAAGTCATAAATATAGTCTGGACACAATGTGGATACAAAGCTTCCAGGAGGCCCTTCTGGCCAGCACACAATGCCATCCCACTCTGGTGAACAAAAGCCATCTGCAGAGACAAAAAGAAAATCAAGTTTTTAAAACGAGACCTCAAAGAGAATCTAGTACTCAGAGCAGTTGCATAGCTGTTTGTTTTAAGGGTCATTTCCTTGATCTTTGTGTTTATGTGAATTAGCTCTAAGAAGTAACTGTGTAATTTTGCGGTGAGTCTTACAGTAAATAAGACCTTTCCTGTGCAAACAAAAAAGATAGGGTCATTCAGTGAAAACACACATACTAACAGTACTCTCCATTTGTTTCAACATAATTACAACTTAAAATGGTATTCACGGTATGCTGACTTGCCATTTAAATCCAGCGTGTTTGTTAAAGAGTCAATTGTTTGTTGCTCCCAGTTTCCATAAGTGCTTTATTGTTTCAAAATAATTCAGGTTTTTTGTTGTATGGAAATCGTTTCCGCATGGATCTCATAGGACTGTCAGCCAAACTTTCTGCATTATAGCACTCTAAGTGAGCCATTGTGAATAAGTTAAATTATTATCTGAAAAGGGTTACTTCTAGGTCTATTTATCCAACTATTAATATATAGTCTGATACATAGAAAATCTGTGGATCCCAGGATATAGTAGTGGGAGCAGCATTCTTTTCTCAACAAAGTCATGGCAAAATTCCCTCTCAAGCCTTGGCAGTTATGCTGTATTATTGAAAACATCTGACCACTCTGACCACTAATAAGTAGCTGTACATAAAACTTAAATGATCCCGTCTTTGCAGCAGATCCATTATTTTCTCATTCTCTTGAGTAAGTTGCAAAGAAGCATGTGACGCTAGGGTAACTTGCATTACTTTTTTTTGTCAATGAGAGCATGAAATTAAAGGGTAGACTTAGTGGAGCTGACTGATTCCTGCAGTCTCTGGTGGGAGATCAAAATAAAAAAAGTGTTCAGTTTCAAAATCATGCTAACCCCACATCCTGGGAGTAAAAGTAGAAAAGCCGCTCTCCTTTGCCGTAGGTTTTATTACCATAAAGACCACCTACTTAAAGGCCTAAATTAAACACTAAACACACACAAGCGTGCAATTTCCCGTAAATTTCTTCACCACGAGTTAAATATAAACGTGACCATGAGGGAGCTTGGGTATTAGTGATGTCACTGGGGGTTTTAGAAAGTTTTCTTTCCCCCCACTACTCATTTGATCCCAAGCTGCAGATGTAAAAACACATTTTGCATATTCTCCTCATACATGCAGCTTTTTATAATGAGCTGCCGTGTTGTTCTACACCCAAAACCACGAGCTTCAGGGCTGAGCTATTTTCACACTGGCAAGGTCTGGGGATTTGAACCCACATCCCTTCACTGTCATCTCCAGACAAACCTCACCACTCCCCCTCAAGGAAAACATTGTCTCAGCAATGTAAAGATGGCTTTTGTCTATTTAAAGAATCTAAATCAAGTAAAAATCCTAACAAAACATTACAAAAAGTATGTAAAAGAGAAAATTAAAGTGCAATGTACATGAACGACTCCACTGAGCCATTAGTATCTTTTAAAACCTTTTCAGACATTTATATATTGCTCCCAAAAACTGTGATTTCAGAGGAACTGGAGAACAAGGTTTGAGAGGACTTAACACAAAAGGGCAGCTGCCACCCCACACCAATCGCAGCATGAGAGCCATCTGAGCACAGATGCTGAGAGCATCCGGACATGGTGGTCGAACATCCCATGCTGCACAGCGACAGCAGCTAGCCAACCCCCAACAAAAGAGCAAAGCTATATCCCTCATCACCACCATACAACTCCCAGCCAACCTCTCCATGCTAGAAACCAGCCCCTCCTAACAAGCAGGCAAACAAAATTCAAGAGATAGGACCTTAAAACTAGAGGGTCCTAGAAGAGCCAAAACAGCAGCTAAGCCATGATCAACCCCTGAGACCCCCAAGACCTACCCCACCCCCCCGCAGAGAACAGTAGTGTGGAAATACCCGGTTTAATGGAGCAGGCAAGGGAAAGCCTACATGAATAGGGAGTAAAAGACTAGGGAGCAGATGTTTTCCCAGGGAGCCAGCACCCCAACTGACCCAAATATGCACCCAGGGGAGAAAGGCACAGGTCCAACCCTCCATGTGCAATGGCTGGGAGCACTATGTTCAAGCCGGGGCCCAGGACCAAGGAGAGGCACCAGGCTTCAAGAGCAGACCAAATCCAAAACTGGGCCCCCAAATCCTACACCAGCTCTTGTGCCAGCTCCCAATGAGATAGAGATCATCATACCTCAATGGCCCAAATACTCAAAAAGACGACAGGCACAGGTCCGAAATCCAGGTGGTAATCCGGCCCAGGAAATTGACCCCCACTCCCATCAATTAGACTTTGATGATGGTGATTTCCATCCATATGGAATCACTGTCACTATAGTTCCCCATATAGGTGACATATTGTACTGTGTTTTCATCTACATTGAGTGTTTTGAATTTGTTTGCATGTAGGTGACACACTTCACTTTTAATTTCATTTGACTTTTCATCATATTCACCATATGGCTTGTAGAACACTAAGAATGGTCTTGGGTTTTCTTTCAACTCTTCCATTAAGGTCTGGATGTGGAAAGGTAAGTGTTATCAGACTGAGATTCTAACATTTCAACTAAGGATCTTTTTGGCTAAATGTCGATGTCTCCTTTAGCTGCATACATACAATCCCAATGAAACTTTAACATTTGTAGTGATATCATGACTTAACCTGAAAAAAAAATCAAGGGGTATAAATTATTTTGCAAGGCATTTAATTGTACTTAATAAAAGCTTTAGAGCCAAAAAACAATGATGACCTCTATAGGGATTTAAAAAAAAATTATCCAGGCATATCAATCCTATGTGAAAGCCTCAGGGCCCGGATGAGCTATGAGGAAATGATGGCAACATAAGCCTTTGCAGTACATGTACCAAAACAGCTTTAAAACCTGGATAATATTTAGAAAAGTGTATTAAAAAATCTGTAGTAATAGACAAAATGGAGATAATAACTTTGGAACATAAACAGGCCAAACCCAACAAAATCAACTGAGATATCAACCAATAGGAATGAAATCCTGCGATCAGGTTAGACTGTGAGTACAGCCCTCAGGTTCCCAAGGATATAGAAGAGAACAATGGAGTTCAAGAGAGCAAATCATTTCCAAATGTTCTGTGCTATCGCACTTAGTTAGGTCATCAAAAGTAAAAGCAATGTTTTAACAGAAATCTATTAGTCGATCTTACAATTTGAACTTTGTACTACACAATCAGAGTACTGATTTTATCCTGCATTTACATAATTAGAAAAAACAAACCCATATGTGGCTTTTAAACTCAAATGAAGAGCAATTCATAAACTATTAGTTTAAAGAAATCCAATCAACTACTTGAAGCGAGCATGTAGTTTGTGTTCTTTCAGGCATAAGCCACAAACTCATCAGGGAGATGTTTTTCTACTCATTAGGGTAACATGTGTAGTCTAATTTCTTTGGTTGTTTTGTTATTGAACTGACATGTTCAACCTTCCAAAAGAGGTCAGAAAACAGCCACAATACATAGAGATGAATCACAAACTTTGTAGCGCAGAATTCTCAGGTATGCAGGTCAGCTCCCATGTACTAATGTCGAAACCAGACCCTCCAGCATTTATTAGAGCTCCTGCTACAGCATATTACACTAATACATACCATATTGTAAGTGTGTATCTACAATATTATTCATAATTTTGAATTTCTTGTAATCATACTGTACGGTCCAATTTTCTATTAAATAAAAGGTAAATTATAATATGTGTATTTTTTATAATTTATTGAGACCTTAATCAAACTAAATAAAAAAAAAATGTATATACATACTGAATAACACAACTGAATAAGCTAAAAATGGTATTTGAGTATTTTTATGATGTGATTTTCAGAGTGCTCTTGATTAGTCACAGGTTTTTGTAAAAATAGGAAATTACTGTTATGAATTTACTTTCGGTACATGTATAGAAATGGAAGGAAAAAAAGAACACATTAGGAATAAAAAGGCATAAAATGTAAAACAAGTTTGCTTGAACTAAGCTTTTGAGAAATGATGAAAACAAAAATACCACCAACTATTCTCAAACAAGGACCTTAGGTGAGTTACTGCTTACTTACTTACATTAAATTATGCTTAAACTGTAGATGTAGAGGGTGACAACTATGTTCTTATAAACATTTATTTACTTATATATAAATAACTTGAATAGCTCAATTCCATCTTTTTCATTTCTAATACCAGTCTAGAGAGATGTATCTGTTTTTGCAATTATCATAACTATGAGGAGGTCATAGATAGATAAAAAAAAATGCTGTAACCAAATGCATATAACAGAAGAAAAATTTTAGACTTAAAGAAAGTGTTTAATACAATTAGAAGAAAACTAATAACGCAAAAACTTATTAATTATTTAGAATTTTCCAAACCAGATTATGTATGGTGCACAATAAATGTAAATAAAAACATAATAAAAAGGTTCTAAATTTGTAAATGTAGGTCAACATAAAAATTAGTTTTAAGGTTTGCATTTGTTAATTGTCAACTCATAAATACATGTGTCATCAGATGTTTCATCCCCCGGCAGCCACAAATACAGCTTACAACTTTGCAAAGATATATATACAAATCACAGATTTACAACTAAAAGTCACAAAGTTAGATCTAAGAACAAATTTAAAATTGTTAATAAAAGTTACATATGCAAATCAACAATGTAAAAGAACAAATTAGGTGTTTAGTTTAGTCTCGTGATTTTTGACATGCAATTTCAAATGGATAGCCGGAAGTACACTGTAAATGGAGGCAACAATGATAGGGATCATAAAATCATAATAAAATCATCATAAAATGAGTGAGTTTTTGACAGAACCTCAAGGTTAGCAAATAATACAAAGTATGGATATTCAGAGTAATGGGTCCTTCATTCTGCTACAGATGAAAGCCTTTAAGTTTTTTGTCAGAGATTGATCCAGAACTTCAGCACTACTCCAGCAATAATTATCATTTGGTCTTCGCTAAGGTGAGAATTAGCTCATATGTCCATTAAATGTATAGGCTCAGTCTACAAACTTAATGTTACCTAAGGCGCTTGTGTTGATTAAAAAGTCCTGATGAAGTCCACAGTGTACTTACAGTAGCTTAACAGGCATTACTAGTAAAATTAGCATTTACCAGCAACCTGATGGTTAAAAAGAGCCAACAAAAAAAGTAGGAGAGCTAGCTACCGCTGATGAAGCGGCCGCTGCAGACATTCGTAGTATTAGCAGGCTGCAGGCTGGTTTAAATTCCACTTGTTGCATCACTGTCCTGTGAGAATTTTAACTTTTCCACTATAATGATTGGAAGCATTTGGCACTAGAACAATTGGAGCAGTACTAGACAGCACGAGACAGGGCATTTTATATCACATGGCAAATCCATAGTTGCTTTAAGTGCTGCTGTCCACAAGCTATTTGAAAGCGAGCTAATTGCAAGTATGAATCTACAGCCCCTTATCAAGCTGTTACACCCCTTACCAGTTGGTGGTGGTAATGCACCTGAGGGTTGTTTGCTAACTCACTTTAAACAAGAAGAAGTGATCAAATGTTATATGCGCATGCATTGAAAACAATATTTCAACAAATATACAGTATAATGTACAGCCAATTCCTCATTAGGGGCGACAGTGGTGTCAGATGTAGGCGTTTGCCCTGCAACCGGAGGGTTGCCGGTTCAAGCCCAAGACACAGCTGCTTTCAGTGTGGTTGTGTCCTTGGGCAAGACACTTCACCTGCATTGCATACTGATGGTAGTCGGAGGGACTGTTGGTGCCTGTGTACTGTACAACAGCCTCACTTCTGTCAGTGAGCCCCAGGGCAGCTGTGGCTACAACATAGCTTGACACTATCAGAGTGTGAGTGTGTGTGTGAATGACTGAATGGAGAGGAAAGTGTTTTGGTCAAGTCCTGTGACTTGAAGAAGTGCTATATAAGTAAAGGCCATTTACCATTTTGTCATCCTCTGCCATTTAATCAAGGTTGGCAAACAATTTTAAGGTGAATTGCTGGACTAACTGGTTAGAAGTTTAACATCTTCACCAGGGGTTGTAGATGTGTACTTAAAAAAGTTGAATTTGTAGTTGTTTATTTTTGCAAAGTTAAATCTTTTTAAAAGTGAATCTTAAATTCTAAATGTGAATACTCACACCAACATCTGATATCAAATGTATGTGTTGGCAAGGAAATACAAGTCTTACCTTAATTACATATATTGAACAACATTAATAAAGTTGAACAACTACTAAAACAGTGCCTAGCTTATGAGGGTTTCTACACATATACAGTATGAGTGCCCCAGTAAGTATAGAGGACCCTCTAACATTCCCTGGCTAAAGAACAGATGTCCTTCAATCACTGAGTTTCTCAGCTTAAGCATTTATAAAAAAAAAAAGCAAAAAAAAAAAAAACGTTTTAATCTAAAATGAGATTTATAGACTTATATAAAAACTCTGAAATGTTGGGTAATAACCCAGAAGGAATTTGACCAGAGAGAACAGTCAACAATAGCTTTGGGTTTTTGGGGGGAAGGGAAGGTCAAAGAATTCCAAGCCATCCATATTGTTCTGTGGTTACTAATGAAATATTACCAATGACTTGGCTGCAGAATCTTCAATCCTTACTGAACAACTGACAGAGAAAAATACAGTAACCACAGTTGGAGTTAATGGTGCCTAGTGGAAAACTATGTTCTCTTGTCACCCCTAAAGACACAAATCTACCAGAGGAATTGGCAGAAAGACAATGAGAGGACAAAACAATCAAGGGGATTATTACCATAAATCGAGACAGTTGTAAATATAAATACAAAGGCATGCATAGGCATAAAAAGTAGCTAACGGTTCCTGAGATGTTTATCCGTTTTAAAACAGGGCAGGAAAAAGGAATGCTTAATTATTAAGTTTTTGTTTGGAAAATAAGAGAATCCGCAGATATATGGACAGCCAATCTCTAAGTTTAACATGGTAGACATACTCACTGAAGGATCACGAAGCAACAACCAAAGAGTAGAACTCTACTTACCAGGTACCTTACCCCTTGACTTGATGTTATCTTCACATTTTCTCTTAGCTATGAACAGCAAACGAATCTGCTCCTCTTTTGTCACTACATCGTCTGCATAAACCTGCAACCACAATAAGGTAGATTTAGGAAAGCCAAAGACCATAACAAAGAATCGTACTGTTTTGTAAAAGACTTGCTGTCAGCCAAGTACAGCACTCTATTGATAAAATCCACTTAAAGAAAAGAAGAAGTTTTGAGCTCTTTTTAAAAAGATAAATAGCAGCAAACCAGACACTAGTGTATTTAAAATATGTAGTTTTCTGTTGCAACTGCACAGAAAATGAGTAATATATGATCGGCTATTAATAATGCTGTTGTGGGAGAACAAACATACAGATATAACCTTCCTCACATATTTAGATGTTCTCTTTTTATCTATAAAAAAAATGCATCAGCCATTTCCAGGACCCTCAATTGTTGCTCTATTAAAATGAAACATAGTTTATATGCCCATCAATAAAAAAGTATACATTTTTTAATCTATTTACTTCTTGTCATAATACAGTAATTTAGAAGTTCTTGTATTCAAATAATGCATGTTTAGTTACCTTTAAAATAATAAAAAAGGTTTAATTCTAAATGCCATCTTTTTAAACTTTGTATGAAACCTTGAATGGAAGCAGTTATACAATTTCAACTGTAGGGATATCCATACCCATTTTTCACTTTTTCTTATCACTTAAATTTCTCGGCCTTTGTGAAATGGAGCAAAAGGGTCCAAATCCCAACCAGCTTTGCTATAAACTGCATTACAACCAAAGCCCTTTGGATTTACCTGACCTAAAAGGGCAGACAAAAAAAAAAAAAAAAAAAAACAGTGAAAGCTAAAATCTAACAATCCCTTCTGCTAAGAAATTGACAGAGCTTTGTAATTTGTGATGTAACTAGTTAATATTGGGAAAAATCTAATTAGAATAGAATTTTACAGTTATCAATAGGCCTCTTCGGAGCAGTTCTTTGCCTACATTTAACACTATACATTTATCATCACAACAAAGAACAGCATTTTACCTTTAAATCTGTTTCTATCTCAATAAATACAATGTATAACAATAAATACAGAAGTCCATATTGTTCATTCTAGTGGAGCTGATTTAACCCTGAGGCAGAAACTGCAAATGTAAGAAATGAGTGCTTGTAACATAGGGGTCTGGAGGTTGGACTGCCTCTTATTTCTCTTGAAGGTCGGATTGCTCTGACTGCACTGATGGACTTGTCAAAGCATTTAGGAGTACAGGGCTGTGTTTGTTTTTGTCTTCAATGCCATACAGAATAAACATAAAAAGGGCAACTAAGACTCGTCCTCTTGAATAAACAAATTTCACATGCTGTTTATAGCTGCAGCTGGCTATTTCTGCTTCTCCATGATGAATGTCAAAACTGACAACACGTATTCCTAAAAGCTTTTTCACAGTTTATGCATTTCCAGCATCTGAGCTGGCTGCATATTAGCGATCGACGTGGAGCCTCAGGTGTGGATTTCCAGTCAAGGAAACATTTTTCTTTTTAATGGGTTATACTCACTGACTGGCTGTTGCTCGCAGATCACCTGTAGGCAGTCACAAATGCGACTGTGTTTGCAGGCAGAAACATTCATTTTTAACAGAACTTGACACAAGAGGTTGAAATGAAAACATAAAACCTCTCAACCAGCTGAAGATCAAGGATTAAAGGAAAGATCTGAAGACATGACTAAACTTTTCTAAACTTGCTAATTAGAGATATTTCATTTAATTAGTAAAACCTTTCTACACATTACAATCGAAATAAAATAATCCGCACTGGATTTCAATCCCTAGAAAATTGACTTATACATTTTAGAGGGAACTTGTATTTCAATTATGAAGGGGGAAATTATTTCGTTATTAATTTTTTGAATATTGAACAAGGATAAGAAAATGTATCTTCTAAATGTATACTGCTGATATATTGAAGTCAGATCTGTTTAAATATGACGTATCTAAAACTGAACACACATACAGCACTAACAGTTGCTTGGAAAAGCATTGTTACTACTAAAAATGCAGAACAAATCAAAAACTATTTTGCCCTATAGCTAAAACCCAGACTGGATAGAGAATAAATGCAAACAATACCTTTTCAAGACCCTCCTATGATCAGCTTATTCTAAACTTTGGTCGAGCTATATGTTAAAGGTCACTATTATGCTGGAAGTAGGACCCTGTCCCAACTGTATCTTCTAACAGGTTTTCCTCCATTATCCTGCAATTAGCTTAGTGGTTTTTCCCATCAACTCTGACCAGTTTCTACTAAAACATCCCTATATACTACTATCACCATTTTTAAAGGTGGTAATTGAATCTTATGGCTTTCGTTCATTAATTACTTTCTTCTTGTAACTCTATTAAAGAACACAGTTTTCCAAATGTGTTTCTAATAGTTGTTCATCAAGTAATTTTCCCAAATGAACTGTTTATCTATGAAGAGGTGCTGCAGGGGTTAAGTGTGCAATCCATTAAAGGAAGACTTTCATAAATTGCACACTTAAAGTGGACTGGTGCCTAAAAATCTTATTCTCTGATCTCCTTGTCTTTCCTTTTCATTTTTGTTCATATTAGTGTGCCAATGGATTATAAAGCTCTGCAATAGGCATCTAGTTTTTAGATTGAACAGTGCTCCATGATATATATACAGCTTGGGACATGCTTGTATAACATAAGAATGTTTTTATTATCCACAAACTATGTAATTTAATTATCCTATTCATCATGATGTCTACTGTGTTTCTCTATCTTCATTATGCCTCGGCCACAGTGGCGGTTCCAGGAAATTTCCTAGGTGTGGCCAGGCTGGGAGGGGGTGCACTGAGGGGGTCCCTGTCCCGGTCCCCTGTCCCTCTAGATCCTTCCCTGCTTGGCTGGCATAAAACCCACTTGGTATTATAATATTTCAGTAGAAACACAAAACACTGTTGTATGAGTGAAGAGTAACCTCATGGCCACCTGAGTGTCATGTGTACATCAACAGAAAAAACAAAGCAACAAAGCAAAAGAACAGCCCAACATCCTTGTTGTACACTTAAATGCTTTTGGACCACAGATTAGGAAAAGTACAACTGAACAAATGTTGTATGTTGTTACTTGCAAGCAGCTCATGCCTAGTCTTCATAATACTGTTTGTACACTAATGTTCTCTTTAAAAAAACTGAGAGGTCTTCAGTGAAGGCGTATTCATACTGGAATTACAATACATAAAAGTTGCTCTATTGTTAAGATAAAGAAGTTGTACAGTTATCTGGTACCACAGAATTTTATTAAGATGTATCAGGGTTAAAATGGCAGAATAAAAATGTCTGACAGGATTTATATTTTTTATTAAAAATGTTCAGTAGTATGCATTATTTCCCCAAACTACAGTGTGGACTAATTTTTCTTCCTCCACCTCACACATAACAAATTAAATAGTAGAAATATTGATGCATAGCAATCTATGTGCGGAAAACCAAGCATATTTGATGATGTTAACGAAAAAATAGAAAAAAAAACTCACCTCCCTCGCTTTGTCTCAGCCTTAATATTCAAATGAAATCAATATTTTGATATTAAATCTAAAATCTCTAGAGTACCTAGCTATAATCAGCATTAACAAAAAACAAAAACTAACCTTCTTGGACATTTTTTTTCACAAGGACAGGCATAAATTGTCTCTAATGCAAGTCTGTGCTTTTTGCAAGCTTTTAAAATAAACTGCAAAAATACCAAGCTCTTGTGGCTTTTCTCCATACAAACCCACAATACCTCAATCCATCAATATTTTCATTGCTTTCGGTGCAGAAATAAGGATATCCAGTCTGGGTGCTGAATAAGGCTACAGAGGAAAGACGTTTATAGGTTTGCACGGTAAACAACCACAAATGGAACAGCATTTTACCACAGGCGAACAAGGATAGATATAACCTGTTTACTGAACTAACTATGCCAATGTAGAATATTCCACTGACAGCACCTGAGACATTGACACTATTTTCATCGAAGTAACGACACAACATTTCTTTAGGTTAAAGTTTAGTGTTCTTTATTTGCAATACATATTTTACTATCAAATGAAACTCTTGTGGCTTTTCAAACTTAAGCAAAACCAGGGACTAGGATTAGATATTTCTGACCTTTACGATGAGATTAGAATTATTAGAATTATTTACAATATCAAGAGGAGAATCTTGGGTAATAAGTATGTCCTCAGATTATTTCTGAAAAGTATTCCTCCGTTGCTGGCCAGAGTCCAAACCTCCAAGGCAAACATAACTTTCACTGAGAGAAACATGAACATTCTTATTTGCTGCATTTGATTCAAAACACAGTCTCCTTTTTGACCGCTCTTGGGTTTGTGCCAGTGTGAAGAAAAAAAAAAAAAAAAAGAAACACTGCACATCATATATTAGTGTGTTTTCCAACACCAGTCTTTGGAAAACAAACCACAAATTTGTGTTCCTCTGTGCAAACTGCTGTCTGACAACTTGAACTGCAATTCCCTGTAGGAGAGAAGGGAGAACTGTTTCTAATTGATCCATCTACAGTATATTGTACCACTAAAGCTTATTAGATGTTTTGTTAAATCATATAGCTATCCAGTTATAGTTTTCTGGTAATTTGGTAATTCTGGGAGGAATGAAGGGTAAATTTGGATCAAAAGCCTCACACTAAATTTGCTTAATTTCGAAATATATTAAAGTAAAAGATGAAAGAACATAAAAAATGAAGTCATATGGAAAGGCATCATATAAAACTCCAAGCAGAGACATTGGGTTTCTGCTACATTGCTAGAAAACCCGCCATTATGGGTAGACTTTCCTTTCTTCTTGTTCTTCTTATTCTTTTTTTAATAAAAAGTTGTGGTTAACCAGAGTCATTTCCTGAAATGCTGAGCAGTGAATCAGAGACTTCAATGCTTTGTTAGGTAGATTTTCTGTAGGGAACACACAACAACATCTTGATAAAGCGGGAGGGTTAAATAGACCACAAAAATCACAAAGTCCTGGAAAAAAAAACTAAAGTAAATTGGGACCTTTTTTGTCTTTCTATGAGTAGAAAAAAGTAAAAC